CCTTCAGGGCTCAGAGGAATGTCTTCATTTCATGAGTCAATGCTGAACATTTTTCCTAAACCACTCCTGAAACTCCTCCTGTATCTGCGTTTCTCTGCTTTCCTTTTTAGGACACAAATATCGACAGAACATTTTAGCATCATAATGGGAAAAAATGAAATGGGAGAGTTAAGAAAAAAACTGAAATGTGAAATGAGACTACTTTGTTCATACCTGAACTTCTTATTTATGAGAGCTTCTGAAAGGCATAATTCTAAACTGTATTCATTTTGAGGTGTTTTATTGACATTGTATATACATACACAGCATTTGATAAGGTATAATTTTTTTAAGTATAAAATTTTATATTTTGTATTTTTAGCCTACTAACTTAATTCTTTAATTCCATCTTTGTTGCCCAGATTTTTGTATCATTTAAGTCTATCTACAGCCTTAAATATTCTTTCAGGTGTTTTTGGTGAATTGAAAAAAATGTTGCATTATTATTAAAGATAAATGTTGAAAAACTGCATTGATCTCAGTGTTGATTTTCTGTCTGTTTTAACACAACATGCTGCAGTTATTTTTTTGTCTCTTAAGTCAGTATTATAAAAAGGTAACAGTAGTAAAACATTTTATGATGGAAGACATTTTTTTCATTCATTAAGATTTTTTTTTTAATCATACTATACTATGACATTTTTGTCATACTAAAATTTGGAATTTTTATCGCACCATACTATGACACTTATTTAATAAAAAAAAAAAAAAAGATTTTAATAATACTATACTATGACATTTTTTTCACATAAAAAAAATTAGAACATTTTTATTATACTATAGTATGACATTTTTTAACATACTATAGCATGACATTTTAATCATACTATACTATGACATTTTTTTTCACAATAATTTTCGAATATTTTATCATACTATACTATGACATTTTAATCATACTATACAATGACATTTTTTTCATAGATTAAAAAAAAAATTATTAAACTATACTGACATTTTCGATATACTACAATTTGTAAATTTTTTTCATACTATAGTTTCACATTTTAATCATCCTATACTATGACATTTTTTAGCAATCTATACAATGACATTTTAATCATACTATACAATGACATTTTTTCCATAATGAAAAATATTTTTTAATCATATTATATTGACACTTTAATCATACTATACTTTGACATTTTTTTACACATACAATACTAAGACATATTATTCATACTATACAAGGACATTTTTTCATATTTAATTTTTTTTTTATCATTCTATACTATGACATTTTTGTCATACTTGAATTTGTAATTTTTATCATACCATAGTTTCACATTTTAATCATCCTATACGCTGACATTTTTTAGCAAACTATACAATGACATTTTAATCATACCACACCATGAGATTTTTCTAAATACATGTTTAAATAATGTTTTATTATACTATACTATGACATTTGTCATAATAAAATTTTAAATTTTTATCATACTATACTATGACACTTTTTTCATAAACATTTTTAAAAAATTTTATCATACTATACTATGACAATTTTTAACATACAATACTAAGACATATTATTCATACCATACAAAGACATTTTTTTCATATTTTAAATTTTTTTTATTCTATACTATGACATTTTAATCATGACACTATAACATATTTTTACACAAAAATTTTGAATATTTTAGCAAACTATACAATGACATTTTAATCATACTACACTGAGATTTTTTTTAAAAACATGTTTAAATAATGTTTTATTATACTATACTATGATATTTGTCATAATAAAAATTTAAATTTTTATCATACTATACTATGACACTTTTTTCATAAACAATTTTTTAATTTTTTTATCCTACTATTCTATAACGAATTTTTAACATACTATACTATGACATTGTAATCAAACTATACTGACCATTCTTTTCACACAAAAATTGTAATTTTTTATTATACTATACTATGAATTTTTTTCAACATACTATACCCTGACATTTTAATCATACTATACAATGACATTCTTTAATACGTTTTAAAAAAAATTTTCATACTATGCTATAACATTTTTTACATTCTACACTTTGACATTTTAATCATACTATACTATGACATTTTTTTTCACACAAAATTTTTTAATATTTAATCATACTATACTATGACATTTTTGTGACACTCCAATTTGAAATTCTTATTATACCATATACTACGACCCTTTTTCATGTAAAAAAAATTCTGATTTTTAATCATACTATACTATGACATTTCACATAAAAATTAGGGAAAATTTATTTCATTAAAAAATTAAATTTTTTTATCATACAATACTATGTATTTTTTGTCATACTATAATTTGAAATTTACATCTAACTATACCATGACATTTTTAGCATACTATCTTATGACACTTTTCTAATAAAAAATGAATTTTTCATCATACAATACTATGACATTTTTAGCATACTTTAATTTTTTATTATACTATACTATTAATTTTCTTTCAACATACTATACCCTGACATTTTAATCATACTATACTATGACATTTTAATTATACTATACTATGACATTTTTGTCATACTCCATTTTAAAATTTTTATAATACCATACTATGACACTTTTTTCAGGAAAACAATTGTTATTTTTTAATCATACTATACTATGACATTTTTTCCACTGAAAAGAATTTTTGGAATTTTTTTATTATACTATACTATGACATTTTCTTTCAACATACTATACCCTGACATTTTAATCATACTATACTATGACATTTTTGTCAGACGTGTTTTTTTCAAATTTTATATCATACTATACTATGAAATTTTTGTCATACTAAAATTTGAAAATTTTTATCATACTGTACTATGAAATTTTTTAACATACTATACTATGACATAAAAAAATTTAGAAAATTTTATTTTTATATATTATACTACATTATTACATTTTTTTTCAACATAAAATTCCATGACATTTTAATCATACTACACTATGACATCTTTTAATACATGTTTACATTTTTTTATCATACTATACTATGACATTTTTTACACACAAAATCTTTAATATTTAATCATACTATACTGTGATATTTTTGTCATACTCCGATTTTAAATCTTTATAAAACCATACTATGACACTTTTTTCATTAAAAAAAAAAATATAAATTTAAATCATACTATACTATGACATTTTTTTGACATAAAACAATTTTTGGATTTTTTTTATTATACTATACTATTACATTTTTTAAACATAATATTCCATGAAATTTTGATCATACCACACTATGAAATTTTTGTCAGACATGTTTTAAATTTTTTTATCATACTATACAGTGACACTTTTGTCAAACTAACATTTGAATTTTTTTATCATTCTGTGCTATGACATACTTTAAACATACTATACTATGACATAAAACAAATTAAGAAAGTTGTTATTACACTATACAATGACATTTTTTTCAACATACTATACCATGACATTTTAATCATACTACACTATGACATTTTTTTATACATTTTAAATTTTTTTTTATCATACTATACAATGACATTTTTTACAGTCTACACTTTGACATTTTAATCATACTATATTATGAAATTTTTTTTACACAAAAGTTTTTAATATTTAATCACACTATACTGACATTTTTGTCAAACTCCAATTTTAAATTTTTATACCATTATGACACTTTTTTCACAAAATTGTTTTGATTTTAAATCATGCTGAACTATGACATTTTTTGACATAAAAAATAAGAAAAATGTATTAAATTAAAAATTTGATTTTTTAAATCATCTTATACTATGTAGTTTTTGTCATATTATAATTCGAAATTTTCATCATACTATATGACATTTTTAACATACTTTAATATGACATTTTAATCAAACTATACTGACATTCTTTTCACACAAAAAAATTGTAATTTCTTATTATACGATACTATGAATTTTTTTTAACATACTATACCCTGACATTTAAATCATACTTTATTATGACATTTTTTACATACTATACTATGAAATTTTAAACATACTATACTATGACTTTTTTTACACACAAAAATGTTTAATATTTAATCAGACTATACTATGACATTTTAATCATACTCTCCTATGACATTACATAATTATACTTCACTATGATTTTTTTTATCATATAATACGATCACATTTTTTCATCTTACTTTACTTTTTTTTATCATACTATACTATGAAAGTTTTATCACACTATACTGTAATTATTTTCAATACTTTCCTGATTTTTTATAATACTGTATTATGACATTTTCAATGTACTATACTGTCATTTTTTATGGCATTTTTATTATACAATACTATGACATTTTTATCATACTTCACCATGATTTTTTTTAATCATATTTTACTATGACATTTTTATGATACTATACTATGGTATTTTTTATTATGCAATACTATTTTTTTATACTATACTGTGATGCTTTTATCATACCATACTACGACATTTGGAGTTTTTGTCATATTTGACTTTGTCAATTTTTTCTTTCTGCCTTTGTAGACTATACAAAGACAGGCTCATTGGCCCTTTTCAAAGTTGAAATGTCTGACCAGCCTGCTCCCTAATAATAAAATAATGCTTAACACAAAACTCGATAAAAAGATAAAAGGAAACTGCCACATTTGAAGTTTCTGAGGAAATCAAAGGGTGCCACAAATCACTTAATTTCTGTGCTTATCACCTCATTCTCAGCTGGTTGCTAGGCAACCCTATAAAGCCAACAGGACTCTGGGAAATCACTGTGTTGTGTGGGTTCTTTCCAAGAAATATTTCCTGCTGCTGATGTTACAGAGCAGGGCTGATTGTTTCTTTTTTTGCTTCTGCACAAAATTAACTAGATAACGGAAACAACTAACAGCTGCTCTCCAGGAGGTGTTTTATAGTCAGATTTTAAATGGCTACCTTTTTTTTCCATACGGTAGATGGCAAAAAGAAAACATTTGAGCTGTGCATTGAAAAAACAGGAAACTTTATTGTGTAAGATGTTTGAACTAAAGAGAAATCTGCTCTTCTTATTTTCCACTTCTCCACCTGCAATGATGAAAAACATTGTCCAAGTTGTAACCAACATGGTGCCAAATCTAACGCCAAAGAACAACACAGATAACTTAGTTCAACATTTAATCAAATAGGTGAAAATATCGACACTGACTACAGAAGAGGTGTAATACAGAAGTAAAACAAACTATTGTTTTTTTTTTAAACAAACATTTTATGTTTTTGTTTGTTTTTACATTGGATTACATTTACATAACTGAAATACGAACAAAACAGACTTCAATGAAAGCCATAGCCATATGTACCAGTGAAACATGATCTGCCCTTAATCTTTAAAGATAATATTTGCATGTATTTTATACAAAATAGACTTTATCAACCAATATGAGGGTAGTGCAATTCTGTCAGGCTCTGGTAGATTTACTTTCACATGGAGATTTTTGTTTTGTTTTTCTACTTTGTGACCAGTAAATCCTCACAGCAATATACATGGGAGCCAAAGTCTGGACCTTTACAAAATTTACCTTTCAAAAGAAAACAAGAAGTCCTAGAAGTTGGGTAATAAGTGCTACTTAAAATGTAACTGCTTGAATACTTCTGTTTGTAAATTTTTTTTTCCTATTCCTCCGCTTTGGTCACTCTTCCATAACACAAAAACCTCCTCCAGTCTGTGTCACCTTTCCTCCCCTACCTCCCTCCCTCCCTAATTTTCTGATAACTTTAAAACACAGTGAGCGTCCATGACTTTCCCATTGACTTTGAAGAATTTACATTTACTTCACAAGACAAACATGTTTAACACTTCCTAATTTATTCAACACATCTAACTTTATAAACACAAATGAAAGAAAAAAAAATTACTTTCCGGACTCGTTCAATGTACAAAAAGGATTGGGTAAAATAATTCATATCAAAGAGGATCAAGCAGATGTATTTAAAATCACAGAAAATATTTTCTCTCTCTTTTTTTTTTCTTTTTATTTTACAATAGATCATTCTCCAAAAGTATTGATATTTGTTAAGGGTTTATCTATTTTCCTGATTTGAATGAATCTCATTTCTATGGCTCTCTGTCTCCCTTTCGCAAGGCCTTTAATCAAACATGTAGTTGAAAGGTAAAAGAGAAAAAGTGTATAGGAGTATAGCGGTTAAGTCTATGTAAAAATATTTCGTAATAAGAGACACTGTTTACATTGCACTGGATATGTCGGCGCTGCTATATACACCTATGGCCATTTAGAAACAAGCAGGGGTAAGGTTACATCAACACGTTAAAGCTGGTTTTCTGAAGCACCACCACCGGGAAACGACTGTAATACTGTATGCAAAAGTTACCCAAACAAATAGACAGTTTCATCAAATCTTCCCCAGAATAATTAACAATGAAGTGAGCGGTGTGGTTATTTTCACAACACAAGGCCACAAGAGCGAGTGAAGCGGGGTGAGAGCTGAAAGCCTGCACTGTACATGAAAACAGGCGTGCTGCGAGGGACCGTCCTTTGGCAGAACAGCTGATTAATAACATGATGGCTCTTATTGAATAGTGGCTCGTACGCGTCTAGAGCCTGCTGTGCTGTTAGCTATAAGTAACACACAAATGAGCGGTCTCCATGGCAACCTGCTACCTGGTCTGTTAACTGCCATTCCGGGGTTACGCACGCAGAAAACATGGAGCCTACCATTCAGAATAAACAGCTGAGAATCTATAAGGTTGACATTTTAGGCATAGAGGCAGTTACAGGAAACACCGAGGAGAGTAGAACCACGTCTGCTGAGGAGAAGGGGGTGGATTGTGTTTGTACAACTGTGCTGTCAGTGTCTTAGTTCGGCCGTTGCTTTGCCTGGTACACGTACATGTACCAAGCGCTGACCGCCACCTGTTTGACAGCAGCTGATAATCCCGCTAACCTCACAATCTTCAAAATACAACGTGTTTGTGCATCTCCGTAAAAAGTCTATCGTACACTTACCTCGGATGACGACAATCGGTATATTTAAGCTGGTGTAGGTGTGATACTGAAACAAAGGAGCACTCTCAAGCAAAGTTACAAAAAAAACAACCTAAACGTTGAATTCCATCTGAGTTATCTCGCCTTCACATCTCCAGGAAATAGACATACACAATAGATCTAACACATTTGGCACTAGTGGATCACATGGAGGTGATAGAGTCACTCACAGCCTGAGCTTGGATTCATAAACTATTTGGACCGAACTGCATCTTTGTCCAAAAAGAAAAATACTTTAAAATCCTGCGCCGAGAACATCAGTTCCATCTATTAAGGGTTACATCTCATATACAAAATAAATATATTTCTGTTCTTTATCTTTAAAGCCATGTTGGGCTGGTCTGCTGATACAATACCTCGGTTCACATTTGTGCAAACACTGTCACATAAACCTGATTTGATGTCGTATTGATTTAATTTAAAATGCCGTATTTCCGTGACATGTGGTACATCTGTAACTGAAAAAATAAGCCGTCGGTTTCTTTTGTTTCACGCGGGGATGTCGGTTTGAAGTCATTAAACCTGTAACTATGGATGGAATTGCATATTAATCGGTTGCAGCGAAAGAGTTTGTTGACAAACATCATTCCAATTAACATCTCATTGATTACTCTATAATCTGAATAATAAATCTTACACAATATATTAGAAAGCCTTGTTTGAATTCCAGTGGTTTCCATTTAGCACAAAGCTGGGTGCAGCTTCTCAAAAGCTCCTTAAATAAAAAAAAGTATCTGGATTTGTCTTTTACATTATATTTCATTAAATAAAATCTCTTGGTAATCTAAAATTATACAACACAGTTTGAGAAATGCAGTATATTCATCAAATATACCTCTCGTGGGAAAGGGCGAGCAGATGAAATGGGTTTGGGACGTCTAAAAACATCTTTCAGACTTGACTTTGTGTGATTTTTAGTCTTTTAAGACCCCAAAACTTCAAATATTTCAAACTTAAGTAAGATATTTCTCTTTTGTACCAAATGCTGTTTTCCTTTCATGCGCAGCTGAGATTCAGAACAGAAGGAGCCACTCACATTAAAAACAGAGAAACCTGCTGCTTGAAGAGCGATCAGAAATTGCCAGAGTGGAGAAACTAAAAGAAAAAAAAATGATGCATAAGGATGTCAATGTTTGATTCTTTTGCAAAACAACAACGGCTCGTAAAGGATGGCTATGTAGAGCTTTAGAAGCTAAAAGGCACTGTTTTTTCCCTTCTCAGATACATCCTGTGTAAACATTTCACTGAGTGACTGTGTCTGCGTGTACATCGTATTTTAGTGTGCGTAAGCGTGTGATCAGAAATGCATAAAATAAATGAAGAATATTCCTCTAGCTGTTTTTTTTTTCTTTTTCCTCCACTGGTCAGGCATATAAATCGAATTCAGATCAATTCAGAGAAGATAACTGATTCAGAGATGAAAACAGTTCATCCTCGACGTCCTTGGTTGCAAATAAGAAACGAAAAAAAAGACTCGACAATGTCAGAGTAAGTTTCTTACTTTTTTGATCTCCTCATCAGTCCTCTGGAAACCAAACAAGTGAAAGCTCACTACATTCTGTACGCAGCAGAGCTGGGAGGGGAAAACACAGACGAGCTGGCAGGTGAGAAGAGGAGTTGAAGGTGAGCTTTAGCAGGCTGCTTATTGGAAAAGTTGGACAGAATATCAGGGGGGGTCGCGTTAAGATGTCTCTAGGTGTTGGCTTGTCAGTGAAAACAGCGATAAAACACAGCTGGCAGGAGAGGCGGGTGGCCACCGAGAAGAAACTGCAGCCAAATCCTGAGGACAGGGCTGTGGACGGAGGGGGAGGAGAGGGGGCCTTTCGCCCGACGAGACAAGAAACGTATTTCCTCTGGAGGACAAAATTCTTCCTGGTTACTCAAGAAGAAAGGTTTCAGGTCGGCAGTAGGTTATCCATTGCGAAGTTTAGCCAAAGACGGGGACAGGATTAAGAGGTGCAGTTATTGTGCTCTGAGATTAGGCTGAATGGCTGAGTCCTGGAGGGGGGCGTGGCAGAATTCCTAGAGGAGGCCTGGGAAAACAGGAGGAATCGAATCAGAGTGCAGGGGAGGCAGGAAAAAGCAAAGGCTCAGGGCTCGGGCGCAAGTGTGGGGCCCTGGAGAGGTACACGGGGAGGGCAGAACTTAAGGCATTGCTTCACAGTTTAAGGCAGTCATTTCTGATGAAACAGCAGAGGCTTGACGCTCCCGTCTTTGAATTTTGGTATCTGGTTACTGATGATCTCCGCCAGCATCTCAGGGAATTCCACACTGAGGGTTTTATTCACAAAGGTGTAGAAACAGATCTGGAGAAGACCCTCAACCATCTGGAAGAGACATCAGGGGGAGAGGAGGGGGGACAGGGAGAGTAATGAGAGTCTTTTAGATATTAAAAACCTTTTTCTTTTTTTAAATTCGCAGACTATCCTGAAATTAGCCCGGGGTCTATATTTACAGAAGGTCTGCAATAAAGAGGCTTTTATAGAAACTGTATGTAACAGAACCGACTGGAACATTATGCACTTAGAGGGATCTGGGAGTGTATTCTTCAGGGTTTAACACTAATCAGCATGGTACAGGGAACTCAGCTGAACTCCAAGATACTGACACACTTTAACCAGAGGATATGGAACAAACAGTCTGGAAATGGAAGCAGTAGACTCTAAAAATACACGTCTATAGTGATCTACAGGTCGTTCCAGGTTGTCTGCCCTCGTCAAACCGCAATAAAAATCTCTTAAAGACTTAAAGAAACGGTGCAAATGTGTTTGTCTGACCTCCTGCATGGAGTCCAGTAGCTTAGTTAGCTGGTAAAAGCGCTGCCAGTTCTGACTAGCGTTCTCCTCTCTCTTGACGATGGCTTTCCCCAGCTCCTTGATGTACGTCATCCGGATTTCATCGAACACTGGCTGACTTTTCAGGCCATCTTTTGGTACTAGACACACACACACACACACACACACATCCACACAATCGTCAACAAAACACAAAGAGAGGAAACAGCAGGTTAGTTAGAATCAGGGAAAATCTGTGAAAACCAGGTAACCTGATCTAGTCAAATTCGAGATGGGCAATGATTTTTGGTAACACTTTACAGTAACCATAATTTATAAATGGTAAATAGATAGTTTATTCATGTTTAATCATCATTTTAAAACAGCATATAGACCAGTTATAAATGGCAAATAGTTAATTAATGTAAGTTATTAGTTACTTTACTGTTAACAAGCAATGAAATTATTATCAATAATTTTCATTGATTATCGATGGACTATCTATTAAAGGTTTATATGGGGTTTAAATATTGGTTGTAAAACATCTAGATTAAAATGTGTGTCAGCAGCACTTTGTAAATGGTTAATATTTGTTTTTTAAACCACCTATAAATATTACTTAGGCTACGTTCACACTGCAGGTTATGATTCACATTGCATTGTGTATTATACCCCTTTTTTAGCATCTTTACATTGGCCTCTATTTAGTTTTAGAATTGATTTTAAAATTTGATCCATTACATTTAAGCCAGTAAAGGGTCTGGCTCCAATCGATATAACAGAACTTTTAACCCCCTATGAGCCAGCCCACACCCTGAGATCCTCGAGTGGGGGCTCCTGGTCGTTCCAAAGTCGAGACTTGTAACTAAAGGTGACAGGACCTTTTCCATCAGGGCCCCCTGACTTTGGAATGACCTTCCTGAGGAGATCAGGTGTGCAGAAATAGTCACGTCTTAAAACTCATTTTTGTCTTCTTTAAAACCTTTTACTCCTATTCATGTTTTATAACAGTCCCCTTGGTCTCAGGTTTTGTGATCGGGTTCCTGTGTTGGCTGGGTATCATGGGTTTCTATAATGTCTTTGTTTTAATGTCTTCATTTGAATGACCTATCAGCTCATGTGACATTCATCTAAGATTTTATGTCTTCCACAGATTTTTATTTTATTTTATTTCTTTATTGCTAGTCATGTGTCATCTCCCCCAAGTGTTCTCTAGTTGTTGTTGTTTTTATCTTCTTTGTTTTCCTGCATGTTAAAGCCCTTTGTAAGCACTTGTTTTTAAAAGTGCTATATAAATAAAGTTATTATTGTAAGTATTATTATGTGCATAAATATAGATTTAGATATCTCTGCCATGCCATATGGACAGCAGGTTGTGCGCATTTTAACATCCGCCTCAGAGTGAAAATCCATCAGCAGTGTTGCTATTTGTCTTAGTCTGGTCCTCATCCTGTTCTACAAACAGCACAGAGCATTAAAAGTTCATCAAATCTTACTGTGTAGGACCCCAACGAGGACCCTTAGGAGACGAAAGCTAAACACACTCAGATGCACACACATACCTCCTAACCAGAGTAGTGGAAAATATGCAAAACGGGTGCTTTCATTTAAAGCTACCAGGGGGCGGGTTACCAGACTGCTGAGACCTGGGTCAAGATCCTGAAAAAGGGTGGTTAAAGATTCGGCCCGCACTCGAGAAAATCATAAACTCTATGCAGAGCGTGAATTTTGACTCTTCTGGTCACGGGGAATAAAAAGTTGAAAACCGCAGAATAGCTGAAACAGACATCAAATGTACAGTCGTCATAACGACTGCGTAAACAAATGAGAGACTTTGTGTCAGTCTGGTGTCTGGCACTGAGCCCAGGCAAAGCCACAGTAACTGGCCCGGAGATTATGCCAAGGCACAGAGGGCAGGATCAGGGTGAATTACTGTCCGATTTACATAATCAGATAAAGTGGGAGATACCACAGAGCAGGAGCGATCGGAGCTCTTCATTATGCATACTCAGCTTTCGCCACGAGACAATCTACAAAAACTGACGCGTTCTTCGCTGTAAATTTCAGATTTGAAATTGTTAAATGTTTATAAGTGATCAGCTGATCCTGCCCTACTCTGTACCTTACATTTTAACGGCCCCTTAGTTATCTTCACTGCTTACTCATACCATGAGGAATACTTTAAAAACAGCTCAAACTAGTCGTGCCGACCGGATGGCATCTCCATCCCTAGGACGAGGGAACAGATGGAAATAGCTCCCAGGTACTAAAGCGCAACCAAGGCTGAGGATGGAAATGTCATTTCTTCGACATAACAAGCAGATCAGCGCTAAAGTGCATCCTTTCCTCCCGTTCGCTGAGGGAGAGGAGGATGGAAGAATGCCTCCCTACATGCTGAAGTGCAAAATTTACATAAATGGGAAACATTCGCTTTTATAATACTTATCTTGTACTTTGTGTTGTTTTTCAGGGGCTATTATTGGAACTAATCAAAAAGTTTGATGTTTTCGTCAACATTCATTTTACCTTGGCCAGCAGAAGAAAAAATGAGAGCTGTTTGGCATTTAACTCTTTTTTTTCCTACCTAGTTGTTGTTCTTCTCAGCTCAATTAGGAGGGGAAAAGAGTTTGTGAATTTGTGAAATAATAAAGTTATTTTTGTAACGAGTTGTCACTTTGCCAAAGATCTAACTGAATTTATCCTCAAAGGTAAGAAACTGGAAGTTACACTCAGGTTGGATGAGTTATGGTTTTCAATTTAATCTTCAAAATTAACTTTCCCCGTTTAACCTGGAGAAAACGCTGCTTTTATACAGAAAGTTACACACTGAATCGACTTCTCAATGCCAGGAAAACTGAACAATGACAGGAAAACTGGGGTAAACAAGGAGCTATTATCAAAGACCTTTGAAGTAAAAAAACCTCTTTTGATAGTCATGCAGTATTGGAAAACCGTCAGTCCTTTCTCATTAATTGCTGGATGGCTGGAAAAACGAACGTCCTTCTTGTTATGTAATATTTTCACAGAAATTGTGAAAAAAGAAGAATTCTTGATGTGTTTCGATTTAAACTTTATTCTGTTTTGATGTCTCCTCTGCCTTTGAAGAGGAACGTCTGATGTGTGATTGTTCAATTGTTCAATCAAGAAGAAAGAAAAAAAAACCTGAGCTTTGACGACTGAACGCAGATGAAAAAAGGATTATGAAACTGAAAAACCGACGTATGGCGTGATGTAAGAAAAGTGCACCAAAGTCTTAAAAATTCCATCACCCTGTTGGGATATTAGCTTTTTATCTGTTATTTAAAGATGTTACTGATTCTGATACTTATTCCGATACTTGTGCTTGTATCGGCCGATACCGAGTACTGATCTGATACCAGTATGTTATAAAGAAAATATCTTACCAGGCCTGCATGACTGTGATATGATTATCATTGTGGTAAGGTCTGGCTCAGGGTAAACCCTTTTTCACTTCTTTTTCCTCCTTTGCTTCGTGAAATCCGCCGCGCTCTTTAGCATGACGCATCTTCAGGCGTTTAATTAAGTTCCTGGTGTAAAAATCGGAAACACTCGTGCCACCTCTCGAAATATTTTCTCGGCATATGTTGCATGTCGCAGTCTTACTGGTGGGAACATCTAGCGTGAAATACTGCCACACCGCCAACATGACGCTGGTGCTAATTAGCTGCTACTTAGCTTAAGTCCGATTCTCGTCTACTATGTCAACAGACTCGAAGCATCTGTCACATGATCCATGTCGTTTTAGATCGGCAAGGAAGAACTGTGTCATAGCTAACGGAGCTAACCAATAAATAAATTACTAATTTTATAAATTTTGTGGTATAGGATCGGGGCCTGGACTCCAGTACTCGCCAATACCAATGCTAACGTTTTCGGCTGTATCGGAGCAATTTCCGATAGTGGTATTGGAGTCGGAACAACTCTACTTTTTATCTGCCTATGAGACCTTTTATCAAATATATTTGACTAATTTGACTATTTGACTAATACTGGTGGGAGCATCCAGCGTGAAATACTGCCACACCACCGACACAACGCTCTTGCTAATTAGCTGCTACTTAGCTTAGGTCCGAGCCTCGTCTACTGTGTCAACAGGCTCTGGTTCTAAACGTCTGTCACCTGTCACTGTTTTAGATCAGCGTGGAAGAATTTTGCCAGAGCTAACGGAGCTAACCAATAAATAATTTACTAATTTTATAAATGTTGTGGTATAGGAGCAATTTCCAATACTGGTATTACAAATACTGGTAAAACAAATGCACTGTGATGAAGCAGGTAGGACAGCCAGCGCAAAAGTGCAAAAAACTGCAGTTCCTTGATTGTCCACAAGAGCAAACCCCATCAGCTCCCACGGTAAAATGCCCAGTTTAAAGCAGATATAAACATGTTTACCACCAGAGTGGTTTGGGTCATTTGTTTATTTGTACACACTACATGTGGGTGATTTTATTTCCATCTCTCAATACTTCATAAAGGCTGAGAATGGCACATAAATTGGTATACTTAGAGGCAGTTGACTGAAAGGTGGGTGTGTTGTGGCTTGTTGTCAGAAGATTATATGTCTGCCCTGTAAACTTAGAAAAACTGTGCAGTCATGTCTGAATTTATTGATTTGTTTCTTTGTCAAAGTGCCATAAAAAGCTTCAAAAATGACCACAGAGGGAACATCCAGCCAGATGTCATCACTCATCATCCATTTGCATCAAAATTTGTATTTACGAAGCATCCGTCGCTGTTTCGCTCACTGTTATACTATCAGTCTGTGAAGGATTGAGGGTATTTGAAGTTGCAATGAAAAAGCAGTGGCAGTGTGTGATGGCTGATACAATAGCAAAAATTGTAGTCCCTGCAGTTTGCAAAACACTGTTATCATTTTTTTTTAAAGATAAGTGTTTTTCCATTACCTGTGCTGAGCAGTAACAGGACCTTCATGCACAGGTACTCATCATAGGACACCTGCAGTCTGACAAACTCGTTACAGATCTTCAGCATCTGCTCGCACTGGTCGGTCATGAAGGGCAACTTCATCCGGTCCCTGAAGAAAAGGAGAATGAAGGAGAAGGGAAGGAGAAGGGAAGAGAGGGATGAAGGGAAGAAGATGGGAGGACAGGTATAGACAGGTAGAGGAAGAAAGATGGACAGATTAGACTTAAGGCTCTTTTGCTTATCCTGTTATTCACTTCCCTGGAAACAGCCCCAGCAGGGACGCACAACAAACAGGCATGAGAAACCACACGCTTAGATCAGGATTGATGGCTTCCTGCATCCACCCTCCAGTAATATCACCTCCCGTGTCTTAAATCTATAAAATATATCCTTAACATACAGTAGGTAGCCTTGCTTTTAAGGTTGCCATTCATTCTGGCCAACCGCAGAGCTATTGGCATTGACTTCTTGACCTTTTCTATTTATTTTTACCACTACCAGAGTTTTATGTGTCCACTTCAGACCGCTGCTCTCTCTTTTTCTCTGTCAAGGTGTTCCCATTAAAGAGGGCAAGCTGTCAAAGTTTATGCAGAGTTGATTCTTTCTTTGTCTAAATTGAGTCTAGTGTTACTTCAGGCAGGTCACAAAGTCAAGCTCAGCCTACAGTGCAGCAGCTGCTCCCCCTGCCGCAGGCTCCGGTATTAACCATATGTTCACGAAAGGGCAAGGAGCTCTCAGAACAGAGCTATACTGCCAAATAGTGTTGGGCGGTATGACGGTACATACCATGTGACGGTATAAAGTGTCGACCCGTAGAAATTTTGCTATACCGGAGAGAGAGAGAGAGAGAGAGAGAGAGAGAGAGAGAGAGAGAGAGAGAGAGAGAGAGAGAGAGAGAGAGAGAGAGAGAGAGAGAGAGAGAGAGAGAGAGAGAGCAAATGTCTGCTGCATCTCTCTGAGTCAGTGTGTAGTTGTCTGAGCTCGCGAACAGAAAAGCCAGAGCGCATCCATCTGGGTGTTTTTCATATATCCACCAGCGTGTTGTGCATTTTGTTTGCATAGGGTTTGTATAGAAATCCTAGTTTAAAAATAAAAGGAAATTTATTTTTAAGACATTAATTGAATTCAAAGAGGGAAAAAACAAACCATGATATATCGTTAACGTGATATGAAATTACTCATACCGTGATATAAGATCTTTGTAACGTAAAATTTGCGAATGGTTATCCTCACATACAAAATTTGACTCAGTTTTAGTTGGTTTCAGTCCCACCTTTCTAACCAAACCATTTACTTCCATTCTGACCTTCACAGGTTCAACATTGCAAGGGGATCAAATGAGCCAATAGCTGATTAGCCTCCACATTACCCCGTTCTCTCCTAAGACCACAAAGGCTTTACTAAGCTAGCGCAGACACTTTCAAGTACAATCAATTTCACAGACCATGATTGTTTAAGTAATTAGCCTCTGTAATTAACATACTGTTGTTGTAACTAACCTGAGGCCTCCAGGCAGCAGGTTATTTACTACACTGCTCCGAAGTAATTGATGTAACTCTCATCCGACTCTGGGAGAAACGTGTTTTCCAGATTGTGTTTGATGTGAGGATTACAAAAGCGTGAGGGTGTTCCTTCCCACACATATTTATCTTGATAGATCACGGGAGTACTCCTATGATTACAAGGACACGTTTTTACTCTTGTAAGCATTCCTAAGTTTTTAAGTGGAAAGTTAAACGTAGGATGAGATAAATATAAAAAAAACATAAACAGATATTTATACATGAAATCAAAAATACTAAATCTGGATGGAATGAACAGTACTGAAGAGATCAGCTATTTCCTTTTCTTTCTGTTTTTATGATAAACTAGTCTAATACACGGTTAAGTGGATCAGACCTCAGCTGAAGTGGATTTTATTTCAAGGTCTTTCCCCCCCGTCTCTCATTTGTAAAGCTCAATTCCATGTATAGCAGTCTTTGTCTCTGATATCTCCATGTTAGCCTGAGGAGGATGCAGACTGCCATGTGTTCCCGCTGATAAACAAGGTGTCGTCGGCTGTTTCTCTCCACCTGATTTAACATCTTCACACGCGAGAAACTGCCAAAATGTTTCAACGTCATGTCAACAGATGTGAGATTGTGCGAGCCGAGTGATAAGAAAAAAACTGAGTGAGACTGACACCCTGGAATGAGCAAACACTGAACAAAATTGGCTGTTAAAAATGTTGTGCATAAATATAGAGCGGCAGGCTTTGGTACGCACTTGTTGATGACGAGATCGGGGGCGAAGCAGAGCATGCTGCCGTTACACTGCTCGTAGGACCTCCAACCCAGACTGAAGGACATGAGGAAGAGCCAGGAGCACTGCAGCAATGTCATCTGGTCATCCAGGTGCAGGTTGCGGAAGCCTGGGGGGAGTCAGAGGAGGTGGATTAGAGAGAGAGAACAACATTTAATCAGAGAAAATGCAAAAAGCTCTCAGAAGTTATGACCATGCTATAATAACGACATACTACCCAGAATTGTACAAACTTTTTTTTTTGTGTGTGTGAAACTCTTGTGTTTGCAAAGTGCTACATAAGCTTGGAAAAAAGAAAAGGTACGGTGGCCCCGAGGTGCAAAACACAACCAAAAAAAAAAGAGAAAACCCAACACAAAAAGAGAAAACATGATAACAAAAAAAGAGAAAACACAACTCAAAAAGAAAACAACACAAAATGAGAAAACGCAAACCCAAATCAGAAAACAACACAAAATGAGAAAACACACAAACACAAATCAGAAAACAACACAAAATGAGAAAACACACAAACACAAATCAGAAAACAACACAAAAGAGAAAACACAACACAAAAAAGAATACACAATGACAAAAAGAGAAAACACAACACAAAAAAGAGAAAACACAACAACAACAAGTGAAAACACCGACCTACATTTTCCAGTTTTGGTTAATGTTGTGTTTTCTCTTTTTGTGTCATTGTGTTTTCTCTTTTTGTGTTGTGATTTCTATTTTTTGTTGTGTTTTCTCTTTTTGTTATCGTGTTTTCTCTTTTTTTGTCATTGTGTTTTTTCTTTTGTTGTGATTTCTCTTTTTGTTGTTGTGTTTTCTCTTTCTGTTGTTGTGTTTTCTCTTTTTGTTGTTGTGTTTTCTATTTTAAAGTTGTGTTGTCTCTTTTTTGTCATTGTGTTATCTCTTTTTTGTCGTAGTTTCTTTTTGTGTTCTGTTTTTTCTTTTTTTGACATCTTGTTTTGTGATTTGCTGTTGAATTTCCTCTTTTGCCGTTGTGTTTTCTCTTTTCGTGTCATTTTTTTTTCTTTTAGTGTTGTGTTTTCTCTTCTTTTGTCAACGTAGTTTCTCTTTTGCTATTGTGTTTTCTGATTTGATGTTGTGTTTTCTGTTTTGCTTTTGTGTTTTTTGATTTGTCATTGTGTTTTGTACCTCAGGGCCACCGTAAAAAAGTTCTCATCCAATGCATCATTAAAACTGAATCACAAAACAACATAGGATCTAGTTAAGCCGATGTCCAAATTTGAGTTGAATTGTAGTTCAGCTGTTTCCACTCTGTCAAAACTATAAAAGTGGAACTGCACATGAAAAAAGTCCTTTCACATTACATTTGTTTGAAACCATGCCTTTGTTATGTAGCGCCCCCCTCCCACCCTTAACCAAAAAAGCTTTCCCTTGACGATCACGCTGGCAGGCCGCCAGTGGTGGACAATGCTCGCACAAGATGTGAGCCAAATTTGTCCCTCATTATTCTGACATACACGCACACACAAAGAGAAAAAGAAACCCTTCACTTCACAGTGTCATTGAAGGATTTCCACTCAAACTTCTAACCTTACATCTTTGGTGTAAATGTTGACAAGTGAAGTGAGAGGGGAAAATCTTCAAGCAAATACTTAAGGCGATTATCAAGTCATGTGCTTCCTTTCTCATAACAAACTCGCATGAATACTTTGAATTCCAAGCTCTTTGCGCTTCTAGTTTTTCTTTGTGAAATTAATCCGCAAAGTCTTCCCTCCCATCAATTACCTTTGGTTTTTTGTAACATGAGTTTCAGTTATTTGTTTGTGCATGACAATAAAAGTAGAACCTAAATGCAGGAGCCTTTGTTTTCTGAGTCATTTATTCAGTCAGAGCATTCACTCCACTGCAGCGATTAAACCATCAGACTTACTGACGTGACTTACACCTGAATGCTGTTTGTCGAGCAGTGTTCTCATGTACCGATACACCATAAAAACTGAGATGCCCTTAGGGGTAAATAAAGTTGCCTGAACTAAAGTGAACTGACGTCGAAGTTGACTTAAAGGTGGGGTAGGCAGGAATCCGTTGAGGAAGCATCTTTTTTTGTTGTGTATATACAAAAAAGCTTTTAATATCAGTCAATAGCTATTAGTTATAGATGACATTTGGGAATATAACGATATCACTGTGTTCTCTTACACCTGTGTAGTCACCATTTTAAATTTTGAGCGGTCCGCTCTCACTGGAAACAAAGCCGTTCTCCTCCTCCCCAACCTGATTGGTTGTGAGGCACGCTCCACGTTCTCGAATAAAGCCCAAACAAAGTTAGCGCGCTACAATATGGGACAGTAGAAATCAACCAGAAAGTACGGAAAATTGTCTGAATCCTCCTTTGGTCAAGACTGCCAACACAAGCAAGAAAACAAAGTAAATACCGGAGACTCTGGCAGAATAACGGGCGCTTAAAAAGAAGATAGACCGGACAAGAGCTAAGAAGCCGGGTCAATGTCAATGAAACATAAAAAATGGGGGACGCCTCAAGATCTTAAGGACCTTGTATAGGGATGCACCGATCCACTTTTTCACCTCTGATCCCGATAAAAATATCTACATTTTAGTATCAGCTGATATGGATCCAATTCCAATACAGAAAAGCCGCGCTGAATTACCTTTTGTTGTAACCTGAAGTTTCACCACTGCCCCTCGCAACTATTGCAAGTGGCCGTCAAGCTTGTAGGCTGAGGTATTGTGATAAAGTTCAAGATACCAGACCCCTTCGCTCGCTCCATTTTGAAAACAACATGGGCATCCGATCAGCGTGTTTACTTGTGGATCCCACTCACGACGCATAGCATAGAGTTAGACTGAATAGATTGGCCACTATGCATTGGGCCCATTGTCACTATACCAGATCCAGAATTTCCCTCAGTATCGGGACCGATACCGATATCAAATATCGGATCGGTGCATCCTTAACCCTGTAACCTTTCTACTGGACAGGTAAACCGCTTTAACAAAGTAAGACAAGTGTCTGTAACAGAAGTGTTTCTTGTGTAACGGGATCTGCTGCGTGTTTTAGCGCTGCTAAACTGTTGACCTCGGGTCCTGGACTATGTCACTTTATCCTAGTTGTAGAAGTCCTGCAAACATTGTGTTTGCTGGTAGTCTGTTGGCATCTACAGTAGCACCATTGCTGTTTACTTTCACGTTGACTGGGCCCCATTTGTAATTATCTGAAGTATTTATCTGCATTATATCTGAGTTTAATTGGAACGATACGAGCGAGCAGGAGCGTCTGTTTGTGGGCGGGGCTTCCTGGAGCAAAGAGGGAGGGGAGAGGAGGAGCTGAGGGGGAAACTGGTTGGGAGGGGGGGGTAGATTTCTCCCAAAAACTGGCATTTGATCAGATCCTGTCTACCCCACCTTTAAGTCCTAAATGCAACCAAACAATTTTTATCTCTTTATAACAGATCAGATTTACATTCATGATTTCAGTCAATGATTTGAATTGCTCACAAATTGAGAGTCAATTCTTCCTTTTCAGAATTAGGTTTTCTTCACAGAGATAATTACGAGTGAACTGTAGGAACTTTAACTTGATGCATATTCAAAAGCTGAATAACCTTGGTCTTGACCTAATTGTCGTACTATAAAAAATAATCAGGGTTTTTAAGTGAATTAGTCTTATCATCCCATAAATCTCCTCTTCTGTCTGTTACTGTGGATACCACTATAATGGAGGTTACAGTATTTTTATTACAAGGCTGCTGAAAATCTGTTGTTCCATTCTCCCAATGTCAAGAGGAATCACAAGGAGGGGGAAAAAAAGCTGTTGAATCTTCTGATTTTTCATTTTTCAGTCGGAGACAAGGAAACTTCAACTAACAGGCTGCCAGCCAAACTATGATTCAATAAGCTAATTGGTAAAATACAATAACTCTTTTTTTTGCTCTTCCATTCAATTATTCCATTCAATCTAGTACACGAAAAATGAAAAAACGAGTCAATATTTTTATTTATTATTATTTTTTATTCCCACGGTGCCTTTCTACTGTTCAACAACGTGGACCAAAAACTCCAGGCCGGAGCGGTAGAGAAAGGCTAACCTGCTGTCATGGAGATAGACGCGTCCTACGTATTATTCAAAGCCGCCAGGAAGGTCACGCTGAAGGAGGAAGATATGACTGGAGAAAAAATTACAACCAGAGCTCTGTTACAACGGAAGATTTTGGCGCTCGGACCGCTCTGTCGCATCTTTCGCCATGGTACCTGTCGCTGAGAATCATGGGAAGGCCAATGTAGCCTCCATGCATGTATGCTAAAAACAGGCGCGCTCAAAATCAATTATTGTTAATAAGATTTATTATTTCGTTTTCTTCTCTGTTATAAATTCTGTTTTGAGCTAAAAATACGAAAACAAACACTATTTTTTTATTTTTTGGTTAAACAGAAAAACAAATTAACAAAATATTTACTTGTTTTTTCGTTTACTAGATTGAATGGAATAATTGAACGGAAGGATAATACATGGAGCGATCAGACAACATTCATGTTAAATCCATTTTACAAGTTCCTAGAAAAACTATGAAACATAGTTTGTGGTTAGAAGATCTTCATCTAACTTAAAGGCAAATTAGAAAACTTGCATAACACTCCCAATCTGATCCCAAAAAAAGTGATGAACTTCTTAAACCAGCTCTATGTATAAAAAGTAACAAATGACTCCATTTTCCATCAGTGACTTGGCCCACTTCACCACACATTAGTCTCAATTACATGCTGGAAATACCACCACTGACACACTTTGCTTTAGTGGTGGCACGTCTATATAACCCGAACCAAATGCAGGATATTGTCGGGAGGGTTTTTGTTACCTGGCAGTGATTTGGCCCACTTGACTGCAGAGATGACCTGCTGTCCGCCCAGCCTGTTCAGAGTGGTCATGAGCCGTGTTGAAGTGTCAGGCAGCGTGCTGTCGTATCCAGAGTAGAGGATCTCGGGCTCGATGGCCTTGAGCACAGATAGCATGGTGGGCACGAGTTGGGGCATGCACCGAGGGATGACTGGAACGGGCATGTTGGCGAGAGGCTCTGACGATCCTGGAGGCCTCTGCGCTTTCATCTTGATCAGCTTCTTGTTTTTCCTCGCTGGGAGGCACAAAGAAGGTGAAAGGGAGGAAAAGGACATGATGGGAAAGAGATGATGTTAAATAGAGTGTATGGTATTTAGCTCGTCCTATCAGATCATATCATATTGTCTGTATTGTTTGTGATTTGTGTCTCATTTAACAACGTGTCAAAAGTTTCACTTGCTGTAATGAAGAAACACCTTTGTGCTGCATGATATAGTCATCACCAGACATAAATCAAAGCTGACAAAAGGCATTAACGTAGGTGTTGATAAGACGCAGCCACGTGTGAAAGATATGTGTTTTCTTTTGAAGCGCTCACTTTGACTGGCAGTGTCACAAAACATGTTTATAAGACGTCTTATCAATTATATTTCATATTAAGCTGATCTACTTCAAAACAAACCACGCATAAGTAAACAGAAGTGAAACCCTACAACCATAGCAGCTATAAAAAAGATGGATGACGTTACAACTTTCCAAAATGAAGCCAAAATAAACAAAAATAAACAACGTGGCTCCAATCAAATGCTGTGTTCGAGTTACCTCGGAAGTCAGATATCGGCGCTGGAAATGACGTCACACCCGAGTTACTAGTGTTTCAGTTGCCAAGTCGGAAAAAAGCAAAATTGGAGGCTGAATCAAGATGGCTACATCTACGAAAGTTATTTTAGCGCTTGTCTTTTTATTTATTTTAAGTTATTTTAGCGTCCCCTTTCTGACTTGGTAACTGAAACGCTGGTAACTCGGGTGTGACGTCATTCCCAGCTCTGACATCGGACAACTCGGACACAGCATAAGATGTCAGAGAAGTTGTTTTGGCTTCACTTTTGTTCGATATTAAGTGATAAAGACACATACTCCATCTCTTTGTACAGTCTATATCTGTGGGACATGGTTGGTTCACTGAAATTAAACCAATATATTTCCCTCTCTCAAGATTCTCTGAAGTGAAGTACCATCAACGGTGTGTTTTTGCACGCTGTATGTAGATGGTCTGGGCGTCATTTGGCGGTTTTCTCCCACTTAATGTGAAAAAACATGTCAGGAGTTGAGAGGTTACCATGAAAAACATGTTTTTTTTCCTCCCCTCTACCTTTTTTAATTTCCGCTCCTGGAGTTTCTATGGCAACTAAGAGCCTTTCTGGTGGGAATGTGTCTGCTGATGCGCCGGTGTCCATCAATTCCCTCTTTCTTTCTGTCTCTCCCTCATCATACGTGAAACAGCTTTCTCTTTTGTGCGACTAACTCTGGACTGGTTACATGTCATCTAACTCATCACTGGTTTGAATAAACCGCTGGACACAATTTCACAGAACGGCACAGTGAACCTCTTGCACTTGGGTTTCTTGAAATCTTTCCCCCTGAAGAAGAATCATTAGAGATCCAAGGCTGTGGCTCGGGCTTGACGGTGGTTAATTTAGCGATGAGTGTTTGTGTGAAGACGTGGCACCTTCTCTGTGTGCCAGGCCTACATACCAGCACACGTGCACAAGACAGCACAATCACGGGCAATGACACACGCTTACAGATGAGTGACTAACAGCAGCTGAATTACAAAGCAGACGTTTGAAGAACAAAATATGCAGGATAACTCAGACTGCTGTTCACGAGGCTAACATGAGAAACCCAATATGATTATAAGCAGAGACAGAATGATTACAAACTATAGGAGATGGTTTATAATTTAATATGGCTGTACTTGGCTTGGTAAGAGAGAGGGTATATAAAATGATTACATGGTGAATTAATGAGATAACATGTACTGGTATGCATTTTGGTCATGTGATGAGTCTTCAGCAGATACAAAGAACAAGACGGCCTTAATAAATCCAAACTTCATAGTTGTTTAAGTTTGAGCATTACAAAAAATATGTGAAATAAACTGATTAAGGACATTAAGAAAGTTTTAATTAGTGGGTTTTTTTTGTTTGAATAATATGTAATCAAGTATGAGTCTCTTTATTATGCTTTCAGTTTAGAAATAAACATGATTCAGCGACTTAAAGCTCCTATGAGTTTTTTTTTTACATTGATTGAATACTCTAAATTCATATCTATATTATTTCATGATATACGAAAGCAGACGAGACCATCAATGACAAGACTGACATGTTTTAAACTGTCATTTTTAAATGCCTGAAATCTGTGTGAGAGGGTAGGTGTCAGATGAGCAGCTGTTTCATAAAATATTCACAATAAATGACACATTTTGAGTGTTAAAAGTCAGCAGGATTAGATTTTTGTCAGAAGACACGACTCAAGGACAAGTGGAGGACAAGCAACGACTGCTTAGTCCACAGGGGGCGCCGAAATCCCCAAAATCTGGAGGGTTTTTCACAGGAGCTTGAATTTAAACAATTTCGTGCGATTATTTCGGATGTCTATATTTTTTTTCAAACCCCTATCCTGCCAATACAAGTGTTCAGATCAGCGATGTTTTCCTGTCCTGCGATACTGCGGCATTAATATTTTCGCATACTGTGTGTCCACTTCTGACCAATCAGATTGCGTGTTGTTGTGACATCAGATTCACCGGTATATCCAACATGGCCGACCGGCTGATTGTTTACGTGTCGCTTCGACCCGGGACGCGTCCCCCCTCCCCGGAAAGTCGCAAAATCGCGTCGCGCTTGATGTGTACAGTCAGGCGCGTCAAAATTCGCCTCCAAATATTTGAATACTTAGTAATTTCAGGTTGTATACTTGCGTCGTTTCTGTCGTTACACATACATCTGTTTGAGCCTTGCTGAATTCCAGTTTGCTCACATTACTTTACAAGGATCGAACATTTTAATGATGCTAAGACTTTCTGACTGAACGTATGAAATTTAGATAATAAAAAATCCACTTAGAGGGGCTTTAAAAACCTGTTCACTGCTTTAAAGGTTCACTTCCTAATGCTTATAATAAATGGGAGTAATGCTGTTCGGGGCCAGCTTGTGTCATATGTTTAACAAGGAAGGTGTGATGCCTTTGTGCTAGATATCTCCAGAGCCCACATAGTTTTCCGCTTCAGCTGCAAATACCACTCAAATGTCAGTCTCAATTAGACTTGGCAGATTTACAGACAGGTCAGACTTTTTACCTTCCAAGTTCATTCCGGCTTGAAGACATTTCCTGAAGCGGCAGGCGGGACAGTTCTTCCTCCGGATCTTATCAATGATGCAGTCGTTTCTCCCTGCGCACAGGTAGTTGTGCTGGCCTGGAAAAAAAGGAAGAGGGAGGAGGAGGATTAGACTAAGCAGCGTGCATCATGACCACAATAACCACCTGTTGACTCCACAGAAAGCCTGACAAGCCTGTGGCATCCGAACAGTGTTTACAGCTCCACTTCCTCAAGTCTGTACTTAGAACACTCAGCATAATCCACGATTGTGTAAAGAGCTATTTAAGCCCCACAACCGGTCAATGTCAACACGGTCCACATTTAAAATTGCGGCCTATGTGGTCCCACTGGGAAACTTAAGCTAGCAGTGCATGAGAGCTCATTTAACTCACTTTGTGTTTGACAGATGCAGAACTGAATCATTGGCGTATAAAGAAATAAACCGATAGATGAAATAAAACAACCATGAAGCTGAAATAAAGCAAAAACATTCAATGGATTCAAGTGTAAAGGTTAAAATAATGGGCCATCCCAGCCTCATTGTGACGAGCTGAACTGTCATACTTGGTAATTGTTCTTCTTCTAGGAAAAGATGTCACTTTATCATTTCAGCAGAATTAGCCCTGGCTATGGAACAAATTTCTTCCTCTTACCACATACTTGTGTGATATTGCCTGAGGGCTGTCACATGAATCTCATGTCCTGAGCATCAACACATTCTTTTGGGTTCAAACTGAGACATTAACAGTCGAATGGGCAAAAATGTACGTCTCAGATCATAACGGAAAACATGGCACAGCCGCAGTCAGCTCTTTTAGGTTTCACTTTGACAATTCTTTCCATGAAATACACTCGTCATGATTAACACGAATCACTTCAAATGTAGTTGAAGAGTCACTTTCTCACACTGGCTGCTGAACTCATTTCACACCGTGAGAAAGAGGTGGTGGGAAGAGATTAAAGCCTTGTACACACTTTTATAAACAAATATTCAACCCCCTCAATTTAAAAAAAAAAGTCCCGTACACGTCATCGTTTTTAAATTAAATCCCATCCACAAAAACTCACATAAATGTACGATCGACCGTGATTGGAAGCATGCCAGACCTGGAGTTAGGCCTGTCATGATAACAAATTTTGCTGGATGATAATTGTCCTAAAAATTATTGACGATAAACGATATTATTGACAATGTTTTTAAAATTATATATAATGATAATATTTTGCATAATAATGTGAGTACACCATGTCAAAAACGCTAAACTTTTATTTCTCAAGATGAACTTTAAACAAGATGAACTAACAACAACAACAAAAATAAAATGGACTCACATTCTGTTTTATCAAAAATTACATTCAAATAAAAACTTCAATCACAACTAAAAACAATAAAAAAAAATAGACCAGTTGTGGTAAGGGAAAAAAAAAACTACTCTCCACAAAAAAACAAACAAACAAACAAAAAAACTCCATTTCACACAGACCATAGAAGACACTCTCTTGAATTCTTTTATAACTTGATCTATATCCTGGTAAGATTGAGAAACCTATTGGATTTAATTCTTGAAAGTTTGTAATGTTGAAGATTAAACCAGCTGACTGAGGATCTGTGATGCTGAACTATTTATATGCTTTTAAGCTCTGTGGTAAAAAAAAAACAACAACACTACTTTCATTGGAATGGTATTTTCAGAGTGAAATTTGAAGAGTTCAACACACTTTTCGAGTCTGTGCAAATCCCTGCATATTTGGTTCTCATATTGAAGTTCATATGGGTTCAAACTTGTGTGAAATCAACATCTATCTGGTCTGTTGTTCAGAAATGATCTCTAATGGGAATAAAGATGATAACCTCTTGAGTTAAGACAGCATGAAACATTAAGGTAGTAAAACAATGATTACCTTGAGCCTGGCGGTATGACTCCCATGGTGGGTATAATAGCATAATCAATATAAACAGTGTAACACTGCCTGTGATAGCAGCAGTAATACAAAGGATAAATAAAAGCAGCAAGTCCTGCTAACATGGAGTATTTTTCTGCCTTTGAAAGTGTCACTCTTTTATGGATTTATAAATGGATGAAAATACTAAACGACAGGGTAAGTATGCCTGTCAATCTTCTGCTAACCATTATTTATTTTCCTCAAACTGATAAGTTTCTGCATGACCATTACAAAGTCAACACTGCCTTGACAAATGCCCTTTGGGACCACAAACATTGTTGCTGATCTTTGAAATCTTGTGTGTTTGATGCAGCGTTTTGAACTAAAGGGCACTCAATATGACGGTTGCTGATGCCTCGATGTAGAATTTGCTATAGAATAAATGCTACACAGTCAGTGGTTTAACTATATCCCAGAGGCGACTGCAGCAGTGTTTATTTCTCTGAAAAGCTTTCTTTGTATTCAGAAAACCTTAAACGTTTCTGAAATGATGTCAAACCAGGTTTGAACACTGTGTTCAGTAAGGATTTTACCAGTGAGTTCAAATAAATATCATGTGACTCTATTGGCCCAACAGGGTCATGAACAAACCAGTCAGTCATAAGTTGGTTGTGCATATATACTGTACATTACTATTCCAGCATGACAGCGATCATTTATAGTTTTTAAGAAAATCAGAAATTTTGGTTTGTGATGGTTCTGGCGCCCCCTGAGGACCACTTGGCACTTGTCCTGCACATGTAAAAGTAGCCTTATCAGACAAAAAAAAAAACTCATCCTCTTGTCTTCTAACACTATAAGTATTGCCCACGGTAAGCATTTGCTATCACAAAGTTCCAAGCAGGGGTGCTCCTTCAGTCTGTTGTCAATCGTCCGGTCTGAAACCTGACCCCCTCACACCAGTTTCAGATAGTGGTGGGCGGTATGATGGTATATATTGTGTGACAGGATAAAAGTGACTACCAGTAGAAATTTTGCTATACCGTTTATGTCTGAAGCCTTATCTCTCTGAGTTATTGTGTAGTTATCTGCGCTCGCTAACAGGAAAGCTGGACATCTGCGCATCCGTTTGGGTGCGTTTCCATATATTCGGCAGCGTGTCATGCAGAGTTTATTCGCTCCGTTTGTTTGCTCCGTTTGATTGGTCAGGTTTGGGTGCACTCCCTATAATCACCAGCAAGCAGACTGCTTGGCATTGTTCCGACGAAGAAGAAGCAGCTTCACCGGTGGTGGTCATGGCGGACGCAGAGATTAGTGGCAGTACCGAGCAAACGGAGGCAGCCCAACCCACCCAACATGAGGAAGAGGAGGAGGAACTCGTTCCGAGAAAGGGCGAGTCGCGACATCGGTTGTCTGGAGATTCCTCAGATTTAGAAAATCCGACAACGATCAAAAAACAATACTATGCAAAGAGTGTCCTGTGGCTGTCATTGCTTGAGGAGAAAACACCAGAAACCTCTTCCACCACCTAAAGATGAAACATGCCAAGCTCTATTATGAGAGCCAAAAGATGCGTGACGCACCTGCTGCACCAAAATCTAAAGTTGCAGCAGCTCCTCTCATTTAAAATAGGTTAGCAGAGTCTTTCGGCAAAGGTACGCTATATGATAAAAAATTGCCAGACTGGTCTTACATTTTGTTTGCATTTGTTTACAAATCTGAGTTTAAAAATAAAAGGAAAATGAACAAATGCGACAGTATGGTTATTTTTAAGCCATTAATTGAATTTACAGAAACATACCGTGATAACTACAGTTACAATAATATGAAATTATTCATAATGTGATATAACATTTTGTTCATACCGCCCAACACTAGTTTCAGGTATTAAAAATTGCAACAGAGACAGTCTCAGTCCCACTCTTGATGGTCTTGTTTGCTTTTGGAGGTCATAAAGGGGCATCAGTATCAATTTCAGTCTGTCTCTGTACTAACTCACAGTGCTTTAAATAAAAGCAACAAATCAGTATTAGTATTAAAATTATTATTTTAAGTATTAAAATTTCAGCACCAAAAATCCCATGAAAGACATAAGACCTTCTTATCTCATATTTTACTTTAGAGTCCCTGTTATGTTCGCTAACACATTTGCAAGCTTTAGTCCTCTTCAATCTATGAATAAAAGCAAGACAAGAGGCTAAACCATGTCAGCTAGACTCAACTCTGCAGTATTATCAATAATAATAATAATAAAAAACATCTATGGCTGTATGTCTGTTGTGCAGTTTGCTGTGTGCTCTCAAGCAGGTGAAAATTGATCCTGATCTGGCAGTCTCACATGTGCTATGTAACTGGTAAACACTGAATCTGGGACATAAAGCAAATGATTACCTCAGCATGATGACATTTCAGATCAGCAGCACGCTACATTTATTTCCACTGAAGTTTTATGAATTCAGCAACCTGCAAGCTGCGGCAATCGCAGGCCTGTAAATATACTTTATTCTGCGTGAACACCACTAAAGATGAATAGAATTACACTATGGAAAGCTGTGTGGGTTATTGAAGCATTGAACTGTATCTGCAGGGTTACTAATACGATAACCGGAGAGTGGCCTGAGCGCTGCCAGTTGCAGTCATGGCTGAAACAGTAAGTCACAGCAAACAATGCTGTAAACAGCCATCTGTGGTGTCAAAGTGCCAGCTGAGTCCAACCACTATCCTCACTCCCTTGTTCTGGTCTGATCTGCTAACAGGGGCCTGGCAGTACCCATTAGCATTGCTAGGTGAAACCTCTTGCTGGGTTTACAGCAAGCACCAACTCATGTGGAAACTACTAAGTGTTTGCTTTGTGGGCAGGTTGTTAAGACTGTTCACCCACTACAAGGAGGTACAGAGTTACTTAACTTGACCACCTACAGATTGGAAAAGACAAATAATGGCGTCAGAGTTCACTAAAACACAAATAACTTTTCTAGTAACTGAATCTTAAAAGTGTTTTTCTTGTTGTCTACATGTTCATTGGTAATTTTTCTGACGCTCCACGACATATAATGAGAAAAGTAAGCGTGGAATTGCATTTCTGAGTATTACTGCATTCAAATCTCTGTGAACCTCTCACAGACTCAAACAGCAGGTTCAGACACAGTGAGATTTCCTATGTCACAAATCCAAGCTCCGCCCCCAGAGCCCCACTATGCAGGCCAGACTCGGAGAAGTAGAGAGAAGGATCGCAGAACAAGCATGTGTGTTAGTGGATTAAAAAAGCTAACCATGATATTAACTTTCATCATGTCCCCAAAAACATTCGGGAACCGAAATTGAAACGAGGAATCGGAATCAGAACCGGAACCGTTTAAATCAAATGATGCCCAACCCTACTCACAACTCATTTCACTTACAGACCAGATCTCCTCCTTTTACTTGCAAAGATAGCCAGCCTTACAATGCTAACACCAGCTGATTTTTTATTTTTCTCAATGCCATCACGGCTGACCTCTTTGTGAAGGGTTAACTGTCTGTTTTTCTCGCTCATTACATAGAAATTGCTCTCTGCTGCTCGCTGGAAGGGGCCGATCTGCTGCTCAAAGAGTGTTAAGCACAAAGTGTTTCGTATGGTACTTCATTCTTCTTCTGTGAACCTGGACCAGGCAGGGGTGACTCGTACAGGAAATAAATAATTAATGGATAATCAAACTCCTTCAATCGCATACCGTTCTTTGTTATAAGCCACATCATATGGCATTGAACCTCGCTGCAGCTTAACTGGTGTGTGGATCATATCATATATCACATTTGCGGTAGTTGCAGATGTATATCAGATGTATAAAGAAGCATATTTTCTTATCCAAGTCTTCACAAAACCCTTTAGTTCCAATGCTGTCATGGGGATAAAATGAGTACACGTGTTCTTTTTGACAGCAAAATACTGTTAAAAGCTCATTAGGTTAAATTTATTCAAACAAAGCATATAAATGAAGCTTTAAACTCAACTTCTGATCATAGCTCTTTTTTTTTTTTTCTGCAGTATGTTACCGTGGACTCAGATCTGAATTTGAGGTGAGATAAACTGATACCAGTTCAAGCAGGATGTTTGCAGAAGCAGGGACTTGGCTTCAAGACATGTTATTATCAGAAAAAAAAAAAAAACAGTGACACACACGCAGCTCACATAAAACACATGAAAAGCACAGCGCGGGAAGAAAAAAGAGCTGAGATTGGATTTGTGACATCAGATCTCTAAAAGGTAAATGTAGGTCAAGTGCAGAAGAATAGGTCTCATTAAAGACTGAGTGTGAATGTGATTGTTGGATCGACCTCGGGAGAGGAAGCTGAGGTGGAGCATTCCAAGCAGAAATGGTCGGCTACAAAATGACTGACAGGCAATTGACACCGACTTGAATATCCAAATCAGAACAGTTGCATGCATTAAGAGAGAGAGAGAGTTGTTAGGGAGAGGCTTTGCATGTGTGAAAGCAGATTGGTCATATTTCAGTGCTGAAGGAATAAAAGCACAGAGGCAAATCAGAGGTCACAGTACTACCATCATCAGAGTCATAATCATCATTGTCATCAGTATTGTTATCATTTATTTAAAAGTGTGTTTATTTACCATCAGTGTTTTGTCGTGCTCTCCATCCTTCATCACAGAGACAACGACCGGAGAATGAGGTGGAGGGGAGAGAAAGAGAAATAACAGGTATGACTTTTTTCAGTGCTAATTTAGGCAGCCTTTTCAGAAATCAAGTCTTCAGTTTGAACGTTTACGTGCTCGGTATTTAAACCAGCACTTAAAAGTACGGCTCATATAACAAGCATGAAGTAAAACATGAATACTTTAGCAGCTTCTTCAGCTCATTTCAAGTCCTACTATTTTGATTTTATAGTTAATGTGTGTTGCAGTTTTTGTACATATTTTCTGAGGTAGAAGTACAGGTATGTATTTTAAAATACCGTCTTTTTCGCACTATAAGGCGCACCATCAATGAACGCGTCTATTTTCATACATAAGGCGCACCGGATTGTAAGGCGCATTAAGCCAAACAATAACTAATTCAATAACTCCGTGAGGCTACGGTAGCTGCAGTGCTCCGACAAACCAAAAGGATTTTAAGTGCGCCTTATAGTGCGAAAAATACGGTATTCAAGAACATTTTTTTAAAAATCTGCCATTTTTTTGTCCTCGAGAGCAGCGAAAAGCAAAAAAAAATCTATGTTTAGTGCGTCAACTTACATTCAGAGAAATGTAAGTTTGGCCCTTCACCGCTTTAGTGCAATAGGAACATTAGTCAAAGATAAAAAGAAAACCGAAAATAACAGAGCGTGAACGTTGCAGAGGAGTCAAAGGAAACCACAAGGCTGTTGGTCTTTGAACCGGCACCGAAACGAGAGCTCATTTCTGTGCGATTAGAAGCAGAGCTGCCATCCTAAGCGATACCCCGTCAATGCCAGTGAATGCCATAAACCAGAGAACAGTTCCCCATTCAAGCTAATTAGACATCTGTAGAGACAGCTTACGACAGACAGTTCAAAAAGCAGAAGCCATGAGAAGCAGGGGGAGATGGAATGCATTGCAAAAACACAAATTACTCTCTGTTTGTCAGGTGCATTCCTGACACTCCCAGCTTGAGATTTTGTCGAGGTAATTAGTTCTCAAGCAGCTTTCTCTAAAATCTGTGTTAAAAAGACACCAAATGTTCATGGAGCGAAGCATTAGATGGCTGTTTTAATAAGCACTTTAATACAGCTAATGTTTTTCTAGGAGGCACTTGGTTAAATCAGAGGAGTATCATGGCAGTAATAACTTTCAGTGTGTTTTTGAACGCCCTTGGCAATTTGTTGCTGTCAATCAAAATTAATTCTAGGTCAACTCTTCTTTAACACAAGACAAACAGGTAAGGCGAGAGTAGAAGAGATGCCGACATGCAAGGCCAGGACTGGCAGTAGAACCCACTGAAAGGCATGTACATGATGTGCGTCTACTAAAGGTCAACAAAATCTGTACTTTTCCCCTCTGTCCTCAGACTTTGAAATATAACTGAATTTTTTTTTGCCTTAAAAAAAAAACAAAAAAAAAACAAACAGTTGTGAAATGGCTTCATGAGCTGATCTTATGTAACTCAAATGGATAAAAAACCTCGGGGACAAAATGTACAAAGTTGATGGATGCTAACCTGCCGCTGTTGGGTGCTTTTGTTCAAGCTCAGAATCTTCTAACAGAGGTTTGAATATGCAAATCTGACAACTAATGTGGCTACAATTCATCCAATCAAAGCAGAAAAACAATGACTATTATATTTGTTTTGATATTTTCTGATGACTTGACATACTTCGCCCTCGTGTCATGTCTGTGTTAACTAGTAAACATCAAGTCAAGTGTTTGAGACTAACCTTCGACGGCCCTCTTAAAGAACACCTTGCAGCTGCCGCAGGTCACGACCCCATAGTGGCACCCCGAGGCCTCGTCTGAACACACCAGACAGATCTTGTGCGTCTGCCCACTGGGCTTGGATTGGCCTGCGGCACTCGAGCTGCTGGTCTCGGCTGCTCTTGGTGTTGAGCTGGATTGGAGAGAAAGAACAGAGAGAAATATGAAGAGAAGAGTGAGTCGCATGTAAATGTGGAGATGATCATTTCAAAGCAGAAGGGAGCAGCCTAAACAGTAAGTAATGTGTCTCCAAGGAGACATGAAAACCATTCAGACATATGAGGACTATTAAGGGTAGTATTTAAGCTGGAAAAGGACAAAATTGTTGGCGTCTCTTTTATCAAAGTCATCCATTATTACATAAACTATAAAGATAAAAATAAATGTCGACATGGGAATGAACATTGAAGGTCCCCAGTTATTATTATAAGCAAAGTTTAGAATTCAGCCTCTGTGCAGGATCTGCAGCCTCTCAGTTTCCATGTGGTGATATGAGTGGATACCATAATGAGGTGCTGCTCTGATTGGCTGCCAGATTGTTGTGTGAAGGAGGAGGAGTAGAGTTGTATCATTCCTGCACAAACTCGACCGATACAGATTACATAACAGTTTATTTTGTTTTCATTCCTTCTTCTATTTTTATTTCTATTTAGTATTTTTTAACAGAAACACAGTTTTGCACTAGTTTTCAAGATTTCAAAATAAGATATGTTTCAAGGAAGGAGACACAGTGACTGTGAAATGGCTAATCGTTGTTTTCATGTTAGGTGAGGAGATGCCATCACGCTAGGGGTGGGAGATATGGCAAAAAAATTCATGTTGTGATTTTTCTTTTGCAAAATTATGATTTCAATTTTATCATGATTTTAGAAAAAATAAATTATTAATGGAAATAAAAAATAAATAAATAATAGAAATAAAAATAGAAAAAATAAATTATTAATGGAAATAAAAAATAAATAAATAATAGAAATAAAAATAGAAAAAATAAATTATTAATGGAAATAAAAAATAAATAAACAAATAATAGACATAAATAACAGGAATAATACATAAATATTAGAAATAAATTAGTAGAAATAAAAAATATCAAAATAAATATCAAAATTTTAACAGCAAACAGAATAACATTTATCTTAACTGGATGGTCTCATTCTCAAATACGACTTCACACACAAAAGTCAATATTTACAAAAATGAAAGGTAGTCTTCTAGTCTTATAAATCATAAAAATCACTTAAAACTAATTACAAAACACAACAGATATAGAGCATTTTCTTTTTTTCTCTCTCTCTATTTCTTATGGCTGGTTCTTTTGTTTTTGGTCACAACTAAACAGCTCAAAAATCTCCTCTTTCTCTCACTCCCCTCTCTCTTCCTCTCCACTTCACTGTTATATTTAACATGACTTGTTTTTGTTGTTGTTTTTGTTAATTATTAATTATCTAACGAGTCACTAAGACGAATTTGGCAAAGCTCTGCTGCTTCTTTTAAATCTTACTGCTCTGTGCTGAAACCTGACACCATCGTCTGGCTACTTCCTGGCTTATTTGCATACTAAACAATGATTGGAAGTTTACTGAGGGGGAGGGGTGTGTGTGTGAGAGTCAGCCTGAGAAGAAACACATGAAAAAGGAAGTGAATTCTGTTTCTTGTCCTTTTTTCAGCTGATTTTTCTGCTACTGCAGTTACTTTAATCAACGTGTAACACATTAATTTTGTGGGTAAATCAAAATTTGAGAGGGCAAGAAATTTATTTAGACACATATTAGGGATACAATGTACACTTCAGACGATTCTACGATCTCTGTGCTTTGGCAGATCATCATCACTTTCTAATCTTTCACGATCTAAAATCGTCAGATCGCGTGCCTCTACATCACACACTTCCGCTAAAGCACATTTGAACGCAGTAGTTTAACGGAGGACTTAAAGTTTGTCATGTAACCCTCAAACACATAAAGTCAGTGACTGTTTAAAGGCTTCCTATTCGTGCTCTCCTGATCTCCTTCAAACTTGGAAAAAAACATATGAGTCATCAAACAAGATACCGTAAAACACGGCACAAAAAGGTCAGCTATAACTGGCAGGTGAGCTGTCCTCAGATGAACCCGTCTGACTTTAATAGTGACACTCTGTTCATTCGGTGCCCTCACTGACCTTTTCCGTGCCTTATGTATCAGCGAGTTAGCCAAACACCCATCAAAGGAGACAGCTCTTTTAAGCCCTGATTTTTTTTTTTTTACTACGCTGCACATTAAAGTCATGTCTGAACCCCTTGAGAAACTTGCGGGCGCACACGCCGAGCTGTCATTATCATCCACCGTCTATAATTACACTTCAAGTAACTGAGACGCCTGAACTGCAGCGTGAAGCTCAGCTAGTAGGCACCAACACCAATTTGTCAGATGTATGGCGGGCCGGGAGCCAGGATGTGCATTGGGGGAACGTCAGGTTGAAGAGACGTGTTTTGACCAAACAGACTCCAGACTCCAGTGTTAGACTGTCACTGCTGTGTAATCCATGACTGGAATTCTACCGCATTAGTAGGGCTTAAATCTCCACTGCCTTGTTTGTTTTGGCAGCACACATGTTGGAATGTATATGGGCATTATGTAACAGCGTTGGCTTGCAAGGCTTGATAATGACTTTAGATCCAGGCCTATAGATAACTCAGCCCTGCTTTCTTAGTCTTGCATAATTACTCTAACTAGCCCTTTAATTGTCCCACTAATTTTCTCGCTGTCCTTTCTAACTGCAGAGCCACCTTTGCCACACGAGAGCGGAGTGAGAATATAAATGAAACTTTTATGTGTCTATCTAACACACCGTGAGCCATCCCTATTTGTCTCCCCCAAACAAGCATGACCTAAACTGGCCGGGCCCACCGCGGTTGTTGGAAAGACGACACTTGCTTATTCAAACTGGACCGATGCCAAAAAGAGGGGGTATCGTTGCTGACACCCAATGGAGGAGTTTAGCCACAGTTTTGCAGTTTAAACCAGCAGAGATCGTTGCCAAAACACGCAGAGAGGATTCCGATTGCGGCTCGATTGCGTTTTTGGCTGTCATCTTAAAATATAAACCCACTGTTTTTTTGCAGATGGTGTAAACACAGAGGAGAGAGGGTGGAAAGAGCATGACGTCATGATCAGGGCTTGACACTAACTTTCTTCACAAGTAGTGCATGTGCTTCTAAGTAAGGAGCACACAAAGAACTTTGGGGGCACAATGAAAATTGATTAAATAATGTTTGTCTTTTTGGTCAACATAAGTACTTTTATTTAAAATCAATTTTAGGTTTTTTGGTCACATGACATGGAAGCTATTAAAGAAAATGTTCAAAATTTGCCTTTAAATTTAACAATTTTTTAGAGGACAAATTAGGGAAATAAGAGGTGTGTCTTATTGTCGACCTTAGTGCTATTATTTGAAATCAATTTTAGGTCAATAGGTCACATGACATGGAATCTATTGAAGGAAAAAAGCCTTTCTTGAGAACATCAACCGGTAATTTATTAACGGTCCCTTATTGAACACCTGACGTTGACAGCGAGGGTGCCGAGTAGATTTAACTGCGCCGCTGTTGCAAGACACCGATAGATCTGCCGTGAATATCCGTCGAATATCCAACCTAAAACTAACTTTACCGCAGTGTAGATTTAATCGTGCTGCTGTTGCTACTTCCTGTTAAGGAGAGTTATGCTGCGTTCGAGTTACCTCGGAAGTCAGATTTCCAAGCTGGGAATAACGTTACACCGGAGTTCCCAGCGTTTCAGTTACAAATCAGAACAAAGCAAAATCGGAGGCGGAAACAAGATGGCTACGTCTACAAAAGGGGATGCTATAAAACTTAAAATAACTAAAATAACAAGCGCTAAAATAATTTTCGTAGATGTAGCCATTTTTGCTTTGTTCTGACTTTGTAGCTGAAATGCTGGTAACCCGGGTAACCCATCATTCCCGGTTCGAACTTCTGACTTCCGAGGTAACTCGAACACAGCAGTTTAAAACGTGCTGTCATTCAACCAAAACTAGCGATATCTTATGCTGCGTTCAAGTTACGTCGGAAGTCAGATGTCGGAGCTGAAAATGACGTCACACCCGAGTTACCAACGTTTCAGTTACCAAGTCGGAAAAAAGCAATATGGAGGCGGAAACAAGATGGCTTCATCTACGAAATTTATTTTAGCACTTGCCTTGTACTTGTTATATTCGGACTAGGCAAGTGCTAAAATAACTTAACGCAGCATAACTTTTCCAGTGCGACTTTAACTCAAATATTTGGCACAAGTTTGAAAAATAAAAACACAGACTAAGAGAGAGAGAAGATTTATTCAAACTAAAAAAGAAATGCTGCAAAAACTCAAAACCAAGCCGAGTGTATTTGTCTTATTTGTAGTTAAATTGACTGCTGATCATTTAATTTCACTGCACAATGATATTTCATCTTTATATTGGTCTGACTTCTCTGCCTAGAGAACAGCAATTTACTTCTCTTCATGACTGTCCTTGTGCAGCTTATCCTGAGAGTTATATAATCTGAATTTTATAACTGTTTTTCACACCCCCACAGAAGTTCAGTGAACAACTCCGACAAAAACTCGGACCTACGTTTGGCACCTCGAATCCTACATGCAATCAGTCCCAAATGTTGTGCAACTCTCCTGCACAAACTGAAACGTGTAGGATGCATCACAGATGATGTGATAGGAGGCTGTTCTGCATTGTCAACGACTTTTTCTACAACTTCTCGAGGATGTCCCGCAGTTACTCGTTCACTGCATAACTTCAAATAAGTACGCAGTGTAACCTTATCATCTGTTACACACTATAATCAAACTTAACAGGTAATACTAGCTGTGTGAAAAAGCTGGCAGAAGCTTTCTAATATGTACCTCTCCTCTCTCTGGAGTCCGTCACTGGCAGTAGTAGATTATTATTAATAGAAGTTGTCCTGATGTTATGAGGTATACTATGTCCTGCTTCTATGCTCATCTTTCTGGCTCTCGTAACATGTCAACTTCAAGCCTCCACGGCTGGACTTGAACACTGATGCTGTGTGAACACTAATTACTGAGCAATGCTTGACCTGCGATGGCTCCCTCAGGATTGCTCAGCAACCGGAAAAAGAAAGACAGACTGCCAGCGAAGCTCATGATCACATGACACGAGAAAAACGAGTGAAACAAGTGCGAGTATATCTCCATTAATAACTTCAGATTTTCAGACGCATTTTTGTCTCTGATTTAAGATTCTTTTCGACCACAGGGTGGTGTTTGAATTAAACATTTATAACCCCATTACTTCTGCTCCAGCTCCCATGCTCCTCCCATCATTGAGCCAACAAGTGTGGCTCTGAGCCATGCAGCGCAGATTCAAGCCTCATTAGGAACGCCTTCGTACTGGACTGGAGTGCAATAAACATGTGCACTTACTCAGCCTCGCTCTATCTCCAACAAAAAACACACATGCAGACACATAAAAAAAAAGACTTGTGTATGCTGATAAACAAAAGCATGACATGATGAAATGCACCAAAAATCACACATGGGAACGCAAGACATAAAAGTTTATTAATCTCGCTCAAAGAAGAAGAAGGAGACACGAACAGACGCGCACTCACAACAGCTTGCAGGTTGCTGCCCTTTGCTGCTTTTTCTCCACCCACACTGCTCTTAGTGTGTATGCTCGCATTTATCAGTATGCCTGTGTTATTTAACAGAACTGGCTGCACTGGGTTGAAATAAGGCAGCTGTAACAAGGATTTATGCACACTGGACAGACACTGTTTACACCCAGAGATGTGCTACCAGTCATTTCCCTCACTGTCTTTACTTCTACTTTTTTGGAGCGAGGACACGTGCTAACAATATGTGTCAGTACTGAGAGAAATGTTGGAGGGCCTTGGCAGCAAAACTGAAGAACAGAAACAATAAATTAAACCCTATCCTGCTGAAACAGGCGGTATGTACCTGCAGGATTTTCATAAGGCTGTATAATCCTCGACTCTATCAGTATATATTCAGATAAAGTGTGCAATTTACAGGAAATCAATTTGGTTCGACTAAGTTCGCAATGAAATGCTGTATATTTGATTTTAATGTTGATAAGTGAAATGCAATATTCAGGATGCTGATTTTAAGTTATTAAACACGCACGCACTGATCGTTAACTACATCAGAGTCAAACCGGAGCAGCTGTATGTAAAACTGAGGTTATGTATATTTTCCTTACACTATTAGATTACACCACGATGATGATGAGGTGATGGAAACTGATGACTGTCCACAACAAAACATAACGTCCACACGGAGGGAGAGCTGGACCGGGCTGACCCTCTGTGTCACTTGGGAACTGTATACCAGTAGCTACAGTGGGAACCAGGGAAAGGATCGTTTTTCCATATGGATCAAAGCGTTTTAAGGCCAGTGTGTGGGAGCGTGTGGCATGAGATGGCGCTGGGAGAGACCCGTGGTTCCTTATTGGACAGAAACGTTGGGTATGAGAACATTTACAGTGCCGAGTATTGACGCAAATTACGGAAAAGTGGTCAGCTTTGCCAAAGAGTGATGAAGGAAATGTTGAGTATGTTCTTCGCTCACGTCTTTTTTTATGTTAAAACTATTTACACATTTTTGAGGACAAACAGCAGTTATCCAGGTGCTGATCTACTCATTTACTTATTTATTCAGGGTATATTCTGCAGTACATTTTAGTAGAGACAGCCTGAATGGTAGAAATGAGTCATATTGATTTTTTTATATATTCTGAGAACATTCATTAAAGCTGAATAGTAAAAAATTAAAGTGAAAAATATGTATTCCAATCTTTCTTTTGCAGCACAACCTTGGCACATAATGAACATCCTTCATGCTCGACCCACTCCAGCAGCGAGTGGGCTCTCTGTAAGGTCATCCATTATTGAGGACCCGCTTGGGGGTGGTGGTGGTGGTGGGGGGGTGTAATCTACATTCAAGAGGCAAAACATGGCACAACTTGGTTCACCTTGTCCGTCAGCTTAACTTGAAGACAAAAAAACACTCAATTTCTGAAGGTGATAGTAGGGTGTTCATTAGGATGTTTGATTCTGTAATTCTGCAAAATGACAAAAAAAGATATCAGTGCTTATCTCAGTGGCAACATTTGACCACATTGTAAAATATAATTAATACAAATCTTGATTGCACCTAAATCAGAGTTGATTCAAATTAACTTTTAATAACTCTGCGATGATTTATAATTGACAGCTTGAGAAAAATAAGTTTTAAGTTTACAACTGAGAAATCTTTACAAGAGCGGCAAAACAAGCAAATTTGTGGAATTGAAGACTTATCGATGATCAAACTATTCACAAGTTATTAAAAGAATCACAGATCTCTCTGTCTGCAATCAACTTATCAATTTTGCGATTGAACTTACACTGCTAGTAGTTTTTTTTAGTTACAAATTAAAAGGGGTGCAAGATACCCGATTTTTGACTGTTTCTAATATTCTGATAGTTGCAAACTTATGTTGGCTAATAACAGTGCCACTGGAATAACACCATTTGTTTCCTGTTCTAGCATTTACTTGGTACTCTTTATGCTACATTCTGTTTTGTTTAATCACTATCTTGATATAAGAAAGTTTGTTATCTTAATATAAGAAAGTTTGTTTTCTCGACCAACTTATTTTTTTATGTTATCTTAACATAACAAAGTCAGTTATCTTTATATAACAAAGTTTGTTTTCCCAACTTGTTTTTTTTTAATTATCTTGACATAACAAAGTTCGTTATCTTTATATAACAAAGTTAGTTTTCTTGACTTATTTTTGTTATCTCGACAAAACAAAGTTTGTTTTCTCACGATAACAGAAATGGCGTTTTAGCCGACCTCAACAGTAACTTTTAAAAATGCCCTCCAGATTAGGATATTTCTGAAACGCCACAACCACCATTGTCAACAGCAAGTTGAGGTTTTCTCAATGGAAATGCTGACAGCATGCTCCATTTTGTGCATGCGCCTTGCACTTTCAACGATTTGGGCATGACAGTTGAATGTTTCCACGTTGAAAGTGTAATGTGCAAAATGGAGCATGCCATCAGCGTTTTCATTGATAACCATAGATATAATATGATTATATGTATAACAGTGGCTGCTGCGTTTCAGAAATATCCTAATCTGGAGTGCATTTTCAAAAGTCGGCTTAACCGCCATTTCCGTTATCATGAGAAAACGAACTTTGTCATATCAAGATAACGAGATAATAAGTCGTTATCATGAGATAACAGTGCATAAAAAAAGAGAAAAATCCATGGCCGTTCTTGGCTTCCATATCAATCTATTCGGCAGTGAAGCACTATATGCTTTGCGAATATCAACACTTCTGTAACAATATTTCAGAACACGATGACAATCTGCAGGCGTGGGCTACAGTCGTGAAAAATTAAATGTTTAATATATCTCACATAAAATGACAATAGTGCGCATTTAAACAATGATGACAGGAGACATATACTTTACATTGAGAGCGATAATAACCTACTTTTAAATGTGGGTATACAATGTTTTATCTGTCACATATTCACTCATTAACAGCTGTCAGAATTTAATTAGCTGTTAACTCGTGTTGATTTTGAAGGACTAAGCTAAGACATGTTTTGCGTCTCTCTCCTGTCTCGTGTATTTTCCCTCTTAAACCCGAGGTAACACTTTTATTCCATTTCATCTGGTGTGTGTAAGACTCTTAACAAGTGACATCATCAAATGTACTTTATACATGTGTTTTATTATATGCACTACTGGTGCTATTAAATCTAATGGTGTGTGTCAGAAATGTCTGAAGTCATTTTACTCTGAGTCCTGAGATTGGTTTAGATTTTCATTTGTGTGCAATTCTAATATCGCTCCACTTTTCTGTCTCTCAGAAATCTCAGTGTTATTGGTGGAGCTAATATGAGTTGCATTAGTAGCAAGGCCCTCCAGGTGAACTACAAGCCTGCAGAGCAAGCTAGTAAGATTGTTGTAAAGAGCAATGAATTCACTTATATATTTTAAGTTAAGCTCTCTGACCTTAGGGTAAATATTTATGCTTCTTTTTTAGCTTTGTTATATAACTGAACTAGAGGCAGCTGGTTTTCGCTGGCCTCCAAGCTCAGCGTCATAAACTCTCAGTGCTGTTCAGGATAATGTTTCTTGAGTTGCGCACTTTAAATGTGTTCAGAGAGTGTAGTTTTCCTCCTCCTTAAATCAGTCAAACAGCTATTCTTGTTATCAGAATCAAACACTTCAAAATACTCAACGTATGTGAAAAATATCTGCTCATTTGAAGACATGTTACAGCTCGCTGTTGGCCAGGAAAGTTGTCATACCAGGAGCTGCATTAATGCATCAACTTTTAAGAAATATTCACATCTACTGATACTTTTTAAGCTGTTATCTAATAAAACTGACACTGGGCTGATGATATCATGCATCCTCTAAAGAGATCTGGCTTCTAGACTAAATTGTGCAGACATTCGCAGTTGTGTTGATGTTTTATTCTGCTGCAAAAGGCTCTAAAAATGCTGTGCATTTATCTTAAAGCATGGATGTTTAAAAAGACAGCGTGCACAAACAGCAGGTCGTTTCTAAGTATCCTACTTTCTTTTGTTTAGAAAGTGACAGAACAAACATAATAAAGCTGCTTGTTAACACTGTGCAGCCCTGCAGCATTAAACCTGTTCTCCGTTTTCACTGTTTTCACTGTACTTTTTTTCCTTCCTGCCTTTCACTACTCTCACTTCCTCTCCTTCCATCATCCACCGCTCTCACTCACTCACTTTCTCTCTCCCCTGTCGTCCTTTCTCAGTGCTCATTTCCCCTCTTCCTCTTCCCTTCACCCCCGCCTCATCTGCAGAGGTTATATAATATTCTATGTTTTACTGCTGCTGGGGCAGACACCTCCTCCTCCCCCTCCTCACACTCTGCCTCTCAGCCAATCAGGTGTCACCACAGCCAGGAAGTACGGGGGAGGTCAGGCGAGTCATGGGATTATCCAACTCACCTACCCAGAGACAAGCATACACAGCATATGCGACTGTGTGTTTTCTGTGTGTGTGTGTGTGTGTGTGTGTGTCACCAACAGGGAGCGTGTAATAGCTTTGGTCTTCAAATTAGTGAGTGGCGTCTCCAGTCGTTCAAGAGGAGCCGTTATAAAGCCACCCTTGTTAAAGAAATCATCATGTGATTCTCTGATGGCTCTATCTTTTCTCTGTTTTCCCTCCCTCAAAACTCCACACACCCACACATCACACCCAGCTATACGTCTGAGAGTCTACAGCTCCCACATGACGCTGTCACCTCACTTGTTCTTCTATTTCCTCTCTGTGCAGGCTCAACAGCTTCAGTGACTGCTTGTTGTTTTTATTGATCAGTATTAACTTGCACCACTGTGCAGGGAGCTGAAAATCTGCAGCAATTGATCGCATAAGAACAATTTCCATGTGAAGACTAAAACAGTCAAATCTTATCGTATCTTATAACTCGATTTTGTATCTCGTTGTATTCCTGAGTGTCATTCGGAAACGTTTGCAACCACATCATGAGAATAGGGCTGCACTATTTCGGCCAAAAATAAGATCCCGATTTTTTACTCTGAAAACTCGATTTAGATTTTTTATTCAGTGACGACTTCCCCAAACTTCATTTTAACAATAGGTTTTTCGATCATCTCTCAAAACGAAACTACTGAAAACGATGTAGTGCATATGCCAAGCCAGTAAGTGGTGCTGTAATGCAGCCAAGGAAATGCACAAAAGACAGAAGAAGAGTACAGAGCATGCGTATAAAGGTTGTTTGCGCCGGACACGCGCAGACGCCATAAGAGTTGCGCTGTGTGTCACATAATTGTTTTAAGAGATGCAGATAGACATCCACATGGAGATTGTTTACACTGGTGTGTGTGGGAACTGGCGAGCGCTCTTGCAGGAAGGGGGTGTCTACCGTCACCTGGAGGAAGAAGACATGATAGAGAGGAAATCGACTTGACGATATTTATTGATTTAACATCGTCATAATCAAATAATCCGATTAAGATTTAAAATCGATTAATCGTGCAGCCCTAATTGATAGCATTTCATAATATAGGGTTTTAAGGTGGTGTCATCAGAGGTGGCCAATCAGCTTTCAAGGGGGGCCCAAGTCAGACCTGGTCATTCTTATGCAACAGTCGGACATCAGTATTACGATTTAAAACCGATTAATCGTGCAGCCTTACGTGAAAACATCTTAAAGTTAGACTCAGAAAATCAACAGCTATTTCAACTACTCTCAAAACTGTTGCCATGTGGCACAAATGCTATGGCCCAGGTTGTCAGAAATGGCCACAAAGCTGCAAAACCTTTTCTTGCAGAGTAACTCGCAGGTTAATGTCAGCTTTTTTTTTTTTATGTATTTCTTTTTTACCCATGACTTCAATCTTGACTTCAACCCAACCAAGCGTCCTTTGTGGCTGTGAAAGAGTAACTCAAGCTGTGCCAGAATAAACATCTTACAACATTACAATTTCTTCATCCCATTTTAAAGGACCAGCAAAGTTTCTTTTCATCAAACACTTCTCTGATTCTTACAGAGAGAAGCAAATTGATTCAATAACCCCAAATTATCCTGGCAAGAAAAGGGACGCATTTCATCCGAAGCGGTGAATTGTCCCCCAGGTCTTTTAAGGCGGCTGTTAAATAAGTGACTCAGAATGGAGCAGAAGTGAAAACTCGAGGGAAAAGAAGTTTATTATTCGGACAGGCATTGCCTTTCTCCAGTGCACAAAACAGACAGTTGGTGTTTGTGTGTTACCACTTTTTATTTTACCTGTTTATTTTTTTCTGAGTGTGTCTCTCTCGGTTTTGTTTGAGTTTGTTGAATCCTCTGTTAGACGAGCTCACACTGAGTCAGGGACACATTAGTCTCAGTTTCAGAAGCTTTGATGAGCAAATTGGTGAACATCTCTTTTAGATTCTGTCTGAAATCCTAATTAGGAGCTGATTTGTCTTCTTTCCTTTAAAGGAAAACGCAAAGACTAGAGCTGACTTGAGAAGACTTGAAATTGAGGAAAAGTTGTTTACTTTGCTCAAGTCTTAATGGTATTATTGAGGATTATAACTGGAAACCTTAAACCAGCGCTGAGTCCTGAGTAAATAACGTCAGTAGGACGAATTTCAGCGCTCTTGTCTCGTCGAGTGTAAACAGATCAAAACAAATCTCAGAATGACCACAAAGTTGACTGTTATACAAACCAAGGGGAGGGTGATGAAGGACGACTTGAGGCAGGGCAGCCCGACTCCCCTGTCTGTAGGCTGTTATAACACTCTGGTGGTAACGCCAGTAAAATCCGCTCCACTGCACTTTAGGAGAACTAACTTTATGCAGTGTTAGCATTGAAAGCTGCACTGGCACTCTTAACGGATCAATATGATGTAAACGGAGCATTTAAATTGGCACCATAGAAATAGCAATAATAGCACTGTTCTTCTGGTTCCACTTAAATACCTGTACTCTTTCAGCTGCTTTGATTCATCAGGCCCCAGACATCATTTACCGCTCCTCAACTGAACTATAGTAAGAACTATTGTGTTCCAGCATAACTGACAACAATTACAAAACATCGCAAAGAACCGCACTACACTTCAGAAGTTAAATAGGTGGTAACTTTGTAATGTGCTACAGTGTGAGAAAGAAATGTGTCACATTTTATTTTAGACTCAATACATGTTCAGAAATGTAAAATAATGTTCTAATGTGATTCCGAATGTAATTGATTCAAATAAACAATAACAAGTTTAAGACCCACTCTGATGAAAATCATGTTTTTCTTGTTGTCTACATGTTCATATGGCATTTTTCTGATGCTACAGGACATATCAAGAGAAAAATCTGTGTGAAATTGCATTTCAGAGTATTTCTGCATTCAAATCTGATTTCCTGTGATTTCCTACGTCACAAATCCAAGCTCCGCCCCCTGGCACCTCACTGTTCAGGCAAGACTCGGAGAAGTAGAGAGGATAGGGAGACCTTATGTCCTCTTTTACAGGGGGCTGTCTGGCTTGTCTGGTCTTGTCCGGGGGAGTTTTTGAAATCCACCTAATTAGTGAGATAGGGGCTAACGAATTTTTGGCTAATTAGCATGACATGCGTTACAAAAGTGTTCATATCTCTGGAAGTATGGCACCTAGAGAGCTGATTCAGGTGTCATTTTAAAGCTCTCTTCAAGGTCTATCTTTCTGTTCATAACATTTTTCCCAAATTGGAACAGAAAAAAATTATAAAAGACCAAAAACTTAAATTGAAATAGCAAAAAACGTTCGTCCTTCAATTTTCTTCATATTCACACTAAAGAAAGACTATCATGTCCACTAGCATCCCTGCAAGTTTCAGGATGGGCATTCCATAACTTTTTGAGTAATCAGTCAAAATGTGTGGTACGTTAGGTCGAAAATCGCCATATTTGGCACATTATACAGTCCTGACCTCATCTGGAGTCAGCCCCACTTGCCTGCTTGTGTAAAATATTACTTTAGCGAACTGCTAATGAGCTACTGGAGCTCTGTAGAAGAAAAGCCCTTAAAAATGACACAGGTAATGCAATCTTGGCTTAAAAAAAACCTTTATCACAATTTAAAGACCACTGGGAACACTTAAAGTAGTAAAAGAAAAACAATCAGAGTGGGACTTTAAATGTTCAATAAGGTGGTGCCTCTTTTCAAGGTGACCCAAAAATTTGCTGCTTCATGCATCAAAATCTATCTTATTAGCAAAGTGACTTGGGGATCTTCGATATGCACCTCAGAGTCAAATAAGGTATTGTGGTATGAGGTTATCCTGTATAAACAGATGATAACAAGTAGTTAAAGTAATGAAGCACAATAAGGGATAACGGAAGGTTGACTGACATTACCACATCAGCGAGGGGTTTGCTCAAGCTCATGATTCGAAAGTCAGTATTGTGATATTGATTTCCGACATACAGCATCTCCTTATCAAGCGTCGGTTATAAATAGAGAGGAGAGTCAAGAGTGTGTAGGCAGGGGAGAGGAGATCACAGTGAGGAGACAATCAACTGTTAAGTGTGTTAACAGGGCCAACAGCACGGCTTTCTTCTCGTCACTTTGATGCACGAGATAATGTATGGAACAGAAGCAAACAGTTAAAAGCAGATAAACAGGAGACACAACTTCTCCTGTTCTTCGTCTGTATGAAGGGGGACAGTTCAGGCTAGATGAGGTCACATGGTGAATCTCCAGAGCGTAGCTATGCTCGGCTGGAATGTGGAGCTTTGCAGGAAATTAGGCCACATGGTGACGACCACGGGGAGCAGAATGAAGGGGAAACGACACAATCTTTCAACTTTATCCCTTTTTAACCTCGTATGCTTCACAGCAATGTGAAAGTATGTTAATTAAAGGGTTTGGCAAAAATATGGAGACGGTGCTGTCAAATAGTTGAAGAGGATCTTTGTTTCCGAAAATGTACACCGTCTAGACTTTTAGTACAAACTGTTCTGAATCCTCAGATATCAGTATAGTTAAAGAGCTTAAACTGTGGATTACACGGGCATCATTATTTACGTTTGAGGCAGCATCAGGCTGATACAAACATGAGTTTTCTGTCCATTTAAAACAAAATTATACAACTTTTAGGTATTTTTTCATCATTAAAACAATTATTTTCATATGTAAAAATCAGTCACTGAAAAAATACAGTGAAACAAGCGAGAACTAACTCTATTTCTAAAGAGTGAATTAGGGCGTGTCTGGACACATTTTGGTAGAAAAGCGTCACACAGTCTGGGCACTTAATGAAGAACAAAGTCTAATGAGGTTAGATTAAATCAATCGATTATTCATAGACGTGTTTTGAGCGTGATGAATCAAACCAGTTAGTGCGTCTGCTTTCTCTCACAGAGTCGGGTGCGCTTGTGGGAAGGTGTGCCACACATGTACACGTGGGATTTCAGCCTTTCCACTAGAGCAGGGCAATAAACCGAAAATTTACCCACAATGAAATTTACGACAATAACCGGCATCATTTTCCCCATGTCAACATATAAAAATAAATAAATAAATAAAAGTTGGTTTTGGATGTGCGTAGGTAGGGCTATGGTTTCGTGGAGAAGTTATCGTCCATTTATCGTTATCGAGGTGAAATGCTCAATATATTGTGATATTGATATGAGGCCATATCACCCAGCCCTACTTTACACACCAGACTTGAGCCGGTTTATTAAACATCCCCCTTTCCACACTGCACTTTAAAATGCTGAAAACTCACACAGGTCATTTCACGTCAATTTTTAACGTACTAAAACGATTTCTCCAAGCAGCTGAGAAAAAGGGCCTTTTTTTAAGTGACAGACACCAGCTGAAATTATTCATAGGGCAAGCAGCATTCCTTTATCAGTCATCAAAAACACGTGGCACTCTGATAATATCGGACAGGATCTAATCATGACTAACACCCTTAAAATGCTGCTTGATTGGATACAATTTGGGCGTACTGGTCCCTGTCGTTTATATTTAGAAGTTATGTTTAAGGAGTGTAAAAAGTTGCGTATTAGTGAGTCTGTGTGTGTCTGTTTCTGCTTGTGTTTTAGCCTGCACATAATTTAAGGCTTGGCGGCAGTCTCAGGCTGCCATCATCCTCTGTATCGTGATCGACGAAGACGAGGGAAAAATTGCTGTTATCTCCCAGCCCTCAGTCAAGGTAAACAGCCAATTCCACAAAACACTGGTATTTCCTTGTGAGTGGCAGCGTGGCTGTGCATCCCTGCGGGTGAGCAAAAAGCAGGAGAAACCATGCTCGCTTATGGCCGTCTTACTTTCTCTGAAACGCAACAGGCACATTTGCACCCGACCACATCTTGCTTCTAGACCCATGAGCACAGGCGCTAGTTCATGTAGTATTTACACAACCTGGACACAAGTGGAAAATATGAATGACGCATCAAAACAGGTGTATAATGGGACACTATGGTTGAAAATAAAAACAGTCAAGTAATCAGACAGCTGATCAACAGAACATTTAAGAACTATTAGAGGAACCAGATCGGCTCCTAGGGATGAGCGATAAATTATCATTCACGATTTATCATCAGAAAAATCCCCTATGTTAAATATTTGCCATCTTAGGATAAAAAGAAGACGTCTCTGAGCAGCCTGTTGCCAAACCAGACTACACATGAGGGATTTCCTTTAAGATTGGGGCTTAGATGAGTGCAATCAGGTATGCCTAACATTGGAAAGTGGATCTGTTGCTGCTTCAATAAGAGTTTTCGATAAATGAAACTTAAACTTGTGGTTATGTATCCTATTTGACTACACCAAGTGGTGTTTTCAAGACGGAATGAGTCAAAAATACAGATTGAAAGTATAAAAATTTTTGTTATTACCAGAATGGCATAACTTACAATGATAATCTTTTTAACCCATATTGCTCACTCCTAGAATGCAACAGTCACATGCCATGATGTGTAATGTCAGTCATATGACCTTAAACATGCTTCTGCATAATCTGGAATAGGGTTCTGTCTGATATCACCTAATCTCAGCCCTGCACCTTACAACGCAGGGAACTGGTTTCTGTGCATGTAGATAATAAAACTTAAAACTGCTGCCATCATAGACAGCATGGCAAACATTGCAAAGCCCTAGAAATGGGAATGAGAACTGACAACTGGATCCACCGAAAACCGGGTTTAACATTTTTCAAAACCTGAAAATCTATGTGTGCTACCAAGTCTTGAGGGTCCCCTGAAGTTATATTTTGAGTTAAGTCACATCATGTTCTTTACATCAGCAGCAAACACACATTTATAGACTGTCTGCTTGTTTTTGAACAGCAAACAGATAGTTAACCTTCCTGATGAAGAGTGATGACTAAAGAGGTCCAAAGTGTTTCTATATTTTCTCACAGCAAAATAGAGAGATGAGCTGGCATGAGGTTTATGTTGCAAAATCAGTTCTTTTAAAGGGCGGGTAACACAATTCCATGACCAAGCACATCATCACTGTGCATCAAATCTACAAGGGTGCAGTCCCCCTCTGATGTCCTTTAGAGCAAGTTCATATAGTTAAAAATCATAATCCAACGTTGAAATGAGCTTTTTAACCAATTGAGGTGACAAACAATTACACTGTGAAGAGATCAAAGTCAGCTTATTATGGTGGTGGTGGCTTCCTCAAATGTGATGCTCTTTCTTCTGACTCCTGCCAGATGGTTTTCTGAAACCATTCAATAATTTAAACATCAATTGTCAAATATTTCGAAGACCATTCCAGTTGTTTAGCCAACTATGTTTCTGTTCATGCCAATGCATTAGTGTTTTTACAAGCTTTTTCATTATTTTATTCTACAGACAAATGCCACATTCGCCATCTGATGTATGCAAGCATTCACACAAGCTAATGTTGAAGGAAAAATATTTACATTTATGTTTGGATATGATACAGTTTGTTTAAATTACCACCATTTTCCAGTTAATTCACACAAATTCCCAATAATTCCCATAAATTCCCATAATTCCCAAGGAAAGTTTCCAATTTGGAATATTTCCAAAATTCTTCAGCTTAACTTCCCATGGAAAGTTTCTGGAAATTTACCTGAAATTTTCCACCCTTTGCAACCCTAGCTGTGTGTCACATAATCATTTCCAAAGAGATGCAGCTAGGCATCCACATGGAGATGAAATGGTTGTCATTTAGGAGGGATGCAACGATATCAAAATCTCATGGTACGAAATCATCACGGTATTAAGACTACGGTGCGGTATTCTTAACATCGTTATAATCAAATAATCCGATTAGGATTTGAAATGGATTAATCGTGCAGCCCTAGTATCAATAAGGACTCGAATCGTTAAGGAGTCTCTGTAACGTTAACATTTTAAAAAAATGTCGTCAATCTGCGACACTCAGGGATCCTGGACTGTTGAAGGAGGGACTGAGCTCGGGACTTTTTCCACCATCAGGGAGGATGAGTCTAACACGGCTGTAATGGAGCCTGTGTGTGTGAGTGTGTTTGCGTGTGCGTGTGTGTGTGTGAATGGAACCTTCAATTGCTCCCAGCAGATTCGATTTGCTGCTGACACATTGTGTATCTTAAATCAGATAGATGTCTAAGGCCCGGGGGCACACAGCACCCATTTCCCGTGGTGCCCTTATGTAATTAGCTTTCATTTAGCACATTAATGCTTCAGCCCCCCCACAAATTTCCTACATGAAGGTCTTCCACCCCCTTAACGCCTGCGTGTTTTCCTCTCTTTCTTTCTCTTCGTTCGTCCTCCGCACTCCTCACATTAATATCACTGTAAACACCATAAAAGCGACAAACTAGCGCAGTAATAATCCTAAAACTATAACCGCTATAATGAAAAGCTCGGGGTTTGTTGCTCCATTTGTTGCCGCAGTGAAAAAGCAACACAGACGTGCAGCATTTGAGCCGACAGCGGTTGCATAACAGGAGGCTTATTGCAGCCATAACGACAAAAACAATCTACTTATGGAGTCTTTACAGTCTGGGAAATTATTGAAATTTTCTGCCTTATGAAACTATTGTAGGGAATGTAAGTAATTTTAAAGGCGCTGAATTGCCTCGTTGATGTAATTTCTGACACAAGAGACACTAAAGAGCATAAATGTTCACCTTTACATGCAACAAGTCAATGAAAGAGACATGAAAGAAACTTGGAAATCTGCCATGAGAGCTAAATACAGAAAAAGGGAGTGGAAAGGAGTGGTGCGCTATACGCTGTGCTACTGTGCTGTGGTGAGATCCACAATCCCCTGGCCTACATTGACAGTTGAGCTTTACATACAACACAGAGGAGACTGTGGGTTGGCCCTGACTAAGTGTTGAGTGTCAGCCCGGCTATACACTAAATACAGAAGGAGCTGAAACTGGATACGACTTCACCCCGAGGTCAGGCCTGACAAAGCTTCTGAAAATACGCGTTTGTGTCTGAGTAAACGGAGAAAAGAGCTGACAGCAGGCGAACATTACCGGCCGCTGCTGCTCGCAGAACGCGTCATTGACTCCCACATTGAATTGTTGTTAGATCTCTGCTCGAGAGCAACCAATGCAAGGAAGGCATTGACCTAAAGCTAAGCATCGCAGCTTTAAAATTGATCCCCTCGTGATGAGATCATGAGCGATAATGATGTTACATTTCTGGGATTTCCACCGAGGTCGATGTGCGGACGGGTCTATAGCCTGGAGCTTTTTTTGGTGATTACCTCTCAAAGTAAACGTCTCTCGAGCACTGACTGAGCAAGTTTGCAGAGAGGCGACGTGTAGGGCCTGAAAGTGCTCTGTGAGTCTAACCCTACCATACCCAGGTTAGCTCTGCGGTCTCTGCTGCCAACAGAGTGAGTGATGGTGAAACTCAGGTCATGCATACAGACGGGCGGGCAGAGCAAGAGGGCAGGAATGCAGTAAAAACACTCGTCTCAGCAGAAGAAGCAGCAGCAGCTTAGCAGGCAACAGCAGTGAGGGCTGACTAACTGAGGGTTAAATTTACATACGCCCACTACCAACTCTGTCTGCAAAAAGATTAATGAAGTTAGACGAACGAAGTGAACGCTGCAGACTGACAGTGAGGAAGTAAACGAGTGCAGCTCCTCTGTATCAAAAACTAGACCCGTTGAGAACCAGATGTTTGGAGTTTTGTTTATCCCATCGCTGGTGATGCACGCGATAGTGCATGTATAGTGTGGTGGAGCGGTGCCAACGCATGCAAGTGTTTCTAAGCTCTGAGCGATGGCGCTACTGTAAAATGAAAAGCACTCTGCCAAAACCAGAAGTCGCCTGTCGCTGAGAGAAGTCTGTCCAAGATGACGGGAGTATTTACTGAAGTGTGGAATGAAAATGCAGCATCATACGCAGCTAGAGAGCCCCAGAGGCTGGTAACGCCGGCAAATCTCACTTGAGAAGTGGAGCGTGGACTGAAAGAGAATATTTACACCTTTGGATTTTTAACTTTTTGGAAGGAAGAATGACAAAATCTTTTATTTGAGATAGTACAAATGTGTTTGTGGGGGTTAGTAAAGAAGTAATTCATTTCTTGCTGCCAGCTCTTAAGTACTGTATTGACACACATCTTATTTAGCGATTGTATGGAGCACATCGTTAGCTTCTTAGCTCACAGAGGCAGCTGCATGGTAACCATATATAGGTCACAGCAGATTCCTCAGTGTACATACAGTGAATGCACAGCATATCTCCCTCCTCAAAGTGTTCTCTCGTGTGCATTAAAGATTTAAGTCTGCGTGCAAGATTTGTGCTTCAAAAAAGACATAATGGAATAAAAGTCAAAACACCCAGAGCGACTTAATTCAGCGAGTGAATAATGTTAGAGTTAGGGCTGCACAATATTGGAAAAAACTAACATTGCGTTTTTTTTCAACCCTGCGATATATATTGCGATATTAAAAAATGTTGTTACCGGCAACTGAGTACAGAACGAAGGTGATTGGAGCACATGTAGAGTCACATGGAGTGTATCTCAGTCAGTTACCCTTGAAATTAACTGAGTTCATTCACCTCCGACATCGCAGACTCTGTGATGTGACTATCGCACGCACGTACATCGCGATGACGATGTTCAAACGATATATCGTGCAGGCCTAGTTAGAGTTATCCCCGTGAAATGATCCCTGGAAGTTTAGATTTCACCAGCAGCGATAAGACTCTGAAACTCCCAAGCAAGTAAGTCAAACCTGAGACAGATTTCCAAAGACACAGTGTGAAAACTTTTCAAGTCCTGCAACCAACATGTAATATCAAAGCCTCTGGCTAGTCCTGTTGGCAGAATCAATTTCCATCTTGTTTTATTGGACAGATGACAACGCCTCAAATTCAGCAGCTGACAAGATGTCTTACAAAACATTTGCACACCCTTATAAACTTACAGCATAGTTTAAATGCTGGATTAGTAATAAGACATATGTGATATCCAACCTGGGTGATATCCACCCCTGCACATGGAGTGAGTCGCTGGTGCTGTCGGTGTAGAGCCAAGAAACGCGTGTCCGCTGAGAATTACTTTCGGAACATTCTTCATCACTGTTTAGCCCAACAAATAAGAACTGTATGGGTTTTAAATTGTACATTTCCGTGGACCACTCTACTATAAGCAGTGCGCGTTTTGTGAGGTGCATGCAATTCTCGGAGGACATGCGTTTCTCAGCACAACCCCGGTAGCAACAACAACAACGATCGCAAACTGAGCAACAAACAGAGAAAACCACAGAAGATGAAGACTTGTTGCCAAAAAGAAAAGGAAAGTCAGTTATCTGGAATTATTTCAGTTACAAGAAGGATGATGTCGACCAAAACACGTGTTCTGTGTTCACCTGTTGCCACAATAACGTCCCAGCACAATAAAAGCTAAAAATATCTCTGAGACAGACAGAAGCCGTTCTACTAACATTCACAAAAAGAGGTAAGATCAGTGCAGGTTAGCTGTCCTCAAGATTTCAGCAGTGCAGCATAACATTAAGTGCTATTCAGGTCATCTGGTGAAAATTCCTGTATTTTTTAATATCGCAATATATATCGCAGTGTTGAAAAAAATCGCAATGTTAGTTTTTCCCAATATCCTGCAGCCTTACTTAGCACAGATGAAAGTTAAAACAAAGACGTTTCGCAAACTGTTAAAGCACACAAACCATCGTCATATCAGAAATCCGACGCTATGACTCTCCAAGAGTTGTCCTTCAGGTCGTTGTCTGAAGGTACTCTGTTCTCCGACACGTAAACAATCAGTCGGTCAGCCATGATGGTGATATACCGGTGAATCTAAAAATACTGACGTCCGAAATAATCGCACGAAGAATTGGTCCCAATGTGAAAGGACCTTTAGGGTTAGGGTTAGGTTTTTAAAATTGTCAAATTTACAATTTATTAATGGTCTGTATGCTATTTATCAATAAACTTTCTGCTTCCCATTTATCAATAGTCTATTTACCATTTATAAGGTATGGTTATTGTAAAGTGTTACCAGCGGTTTTATTCTCAACCATTTGCGATCACTTCCATTATTGTCATTAATTCTGCTGTTTTTGGTGTTAGGTTTCGTTTTTGTTGTTCTTGTTGTTTTAATAAAAATTTGATTTGTCAAATGAAATCCCAGAGCAGACACAATCAATGTTGACTTTTCATATCTTCAGGCAACTTTTCAACTTCCTGACTAATCCACTGTTTTGACTGCTGTGTCATCTGCGACGGACTTATTTATAGGTATTGGTTATATAAGGCGCACAAACAGAGGCTGCCCAGCCAAACACTCACTACAGGCAAAGTTGTGCAGTGGAAATAAAACCGCAGAGAAGTGTTGGAAAATAGCAGACTTCAGGTCTATGTTAAAAACACTCACAAACATATATATATATATATATATATTATTATTTTCACTCTGGGTCTTGTTTTTTCTCTTTCTCTAGTTTGACAGCTGCTGTGATTTCCTATGATGCACTTTTGATTCAAGCACTTCAATTTAAATAATTTCCAGACAGCTTCAAATGACGTGTCAAAAGCAATATGCACTTTGAGTCAAACAGAATTAAAATATCGGCCAAGTACTTTGAGTTCAAGCTGCCACCTACAAGCTAAATGTACATACACAGGTAATCAGACTGATGTCAGCGGGCAACTGCTGCTGAAAAAAAAAACACTGAAGTGGTCACCACCTACCTCTGTGTCATGGTTTTAAGACCACACAGGTGTAGCTGTGCAGCATTTATTGAAATACAGTAATAAATCTCAGAGGCAAAATTATGTTGTTGTTTTTTTTTTAAATTTACGACTAAGACACTGATGAGAAATGTTAAACAGTTTATGTGGGAGTGAGAAAGTAGCATCTTAAGGTTGCATTCTAGGTTTCTAACTCATTCAGAGCCAGGGTTCATTTATGCAATTTTCACCCAGTGCCACCACTAACCGCAATAAAATGTTCGTATCTAGAATTAAGTACAATATCTTTAAAGAAAGGGGTGATTCTCATCTTTCACCAGAAAAAAAATTTAGTCTCTAACCCACTCCTGTGTTTAGTTATCGCCTGCTCAATGCAGCGTGGTCATATCATCTTTGCCGATCTGGAAAAACACATTTTACAAAGGGGAGACTTTCAAGCAGAACTCTGATCATCTATTTCATTTCACTTCAAACTACTTTATCTGTGGCATCAAGGTCCTCCCTCCTCAGACACCACTCAGATCCGATTGTGATAGGTCACTTTGTGACAATCGGGAGTCTTATTGGATCTTGAGAACCTGACGCCGCGACTGCTTGCGTCCTCCTCGACGGGACTGTCGCTGAATTCCAGCTCAGTCTCGCTCACCAGTATCGCCATTGGTGGCACAACGACACGCGGGAAAATTGTTTCTCAGATTGTCTTGTCCCGGGATCTCCAATGGATCCAGAGATGGTAGTCGATGCGCTAAGACCGTTAACTCTTGGCATTTTCCTACTCTCCTCATAGACAAAAAACGCTCCACAGCTAGGCTAACTGGCACACTTGATGGCACACTTCTCAGTAGCGAGTACTTGTTTTTATTATTGTAACATGGTTATGAGATATTTGTCGGCTTTTCTGCGTTCAAAACGACCCCAAACTTAGTCGCATGTTGGGGAGGAGCGCCCTCTGACGGAAAACAAAAAAAACAGAAAAATCCGTCAAAATCTGTCGTTGGCACTGAATGAGTTAATTGCGCTCCCAGCTACCCTCTGGCACAACTTTCCTCTCCTGTCACATTTGTTTGGGTGATATCAAAGACGCCAAACAGACTTTTACCCTCAGTCCACGAGGTCACAACACTGCTTTTATTTGTCCAACCTAGTTTTACTGCACATAAGGTCCCCCCCTCTCTCCCTCCAACATAACATGACACATGGCACGCACGCAGACACACACGCAGGAGATGAAAGGAGCCAATAATTAACACGCAGACGTGCACTAAATGTCACTTTGCGAAGCTGTCTATCCTACCTCAGGTGCAATCAAGGAAAAGAGGTGAGGTGGGGGTGATACTGGAGAGAAGCGACGGGCTGAGAAAAATCAATCCTACAAGGATACGTTTGAGATAAAAGAGTTTTCATGATCAGCTCCTGATTCAGTGTCCACGTCTGAGGTAAACAGAGAAACAGAGAACAAGTGATGTGAGCCAACAAGACGAGAGACAGTCAGAAGAAATTAGCCTCAGCTCTGATCTTTGACTCGGCCAGAGGGTAAGAGAAATCCTCCAGATGTGATCTCTCTCAGGTGAGCTGACTGACTTGTATAAAAAGGGAAAAGAGGGATGTAGAGGTTGATAAGAGCCCTGGAGAGGTGATTGACTTGGACCAGCTCTTATTATTGTAATCCAAACAAGCACAGATATAGCACCAACAACAAGCTCACAGCATGTAAGGGGAAATTACCTCCACTGCTGTCAACAACTCTTGAAGTAGACCATGCTTACAGGAGCAGACTAATAACGTTATTCGTTTGATACAAGTAGGGCTGCGCGATACTGGCAGAAAATAAAATCCAGATTTTTTCCCCCGAAAATTCGAACCACTGAAAATGATGTAGTGCATATGCCAAGCCAGTAAGTGGCGCTGTAACGCTGTAGAGGAAATGCACAAAAGACAGAAGAAGAGTACAGAGCAAGTGTATTCAGGCGCCATAAAAGAGTTACGCTGTCGTTTACGGATTTATGCACTCTCTGACCCGTTTTCAAAAATGTTTACAGTCACCCGAAATGCCGATTCCGTGTGGATGAAACGCCGATACGACAAAAACGTTTGCGTTTACTTCTGAATTGGTTTCCATGTGGACGGGTTGATACCGCCTTCAGACAGACTTTGCAGCAGGGAGTGGTTTGCTCTTTATCGGAAACTGCGAATTCCACACGACTGACTTGCTCTCGCCCTATTTAGCCACGAAATTACCGCCTTCTTTTGCAAACGCCATGTTTGTTTACACAGGAAGAGGGAGCCACGGTGGCAAGGAGGCGCGACACTTGATAGAGAGGAAAATCGATTTGACAAATTTAATTCTTTTAACATCGGCAAAATCAAATAATCCCATTATGATTTAAAATTGATCGATCGTGCAGCCCTAGAGACAAGAACAGAAAAATCGGATCTTGCTTGAAAAGCTAACTGCAGGAGCTTTTCAGAGCATCGGCGCTCTCCTAAATAAAGCCGAAGGTTTAAGATCTGAGCCGAAATAATTCAAAGAGAAAATATTAGCTGAAAATTATCTCTGCTCAGATTTGCCCCTCGCCAGCCTTGATCATCCAGTGATGAAAATGGCATCCGCAGCATAGACTTAATGGAAGCAAACAAAACCATTAGTGGTGAAAGTAGTATTTTTTACCTTGGGTTTACATTAATGGAGGAACCATGATAGAGCAAAGGATAGACAGATGATGAGTGCACTGATTCACCTTACATAGAAACACAGGAAAAAGAAAAAGCACACGCACTTATTCCTCGTTGTTTCCAAGGAAATATTTCAAAGTTAGCCCAAATGGATGCTTTAGATTCCAGCGCTTTTCATATGTTTCCCATATTCTCAATGTGGTCTTCTTGCTCAAATTTCTTTGGTATTGTACTAATAAGCTTTCAGAAACTCTCACAACACAGGCTCACATTACATACAAGGAAATATCTACTTCGGCTGTGCAATCACAAGATATTTGTCAGAACAAGCAATCTGATTTGAGCAAAATAAATATGCACCACTTCCATGTTCTTCATCACCTAATCAAGAAACACAATTTTTGCATCATCAACTCATTCCACACCAGCTGTGATGAGCTGAAAACAGAATCGCCTCAGGGGTTTTCAACTACATAAAACAGGCAAATAATAAGTTTGGTTCGGTGTGCGTCAGCAGCCTTTCACAGAGCTGTCTGTCTTCCTGCTAAGAGCGGGTCAACATCTCATTCTGTCATTAATATTTCATGGTAGAGTGCAGCTCTAAGTGCTTCAACATTACATAACTCCCAAAAATCTGAATAATTGTGTTGTTAACAAATAATAATCCTACTCTGAACTTGGAGATATCCCTCAAATAAATGTCAGGGTTTCTGTTGTTGCAGACGTCCCCCCAAAAAAAGACGCTTTCTTTATCTCACACGCAGCTGCCTGAAGATAAGAGACCTCTCTGCTTACATTACTTGGCAGACTGTTCTTACTCAAAAAGGAAATCAAAGGCGTCACCTATGGAGAGCCAAAGGGATTGTTTTTTTTTTCAACATAGGCCCTGAGACCACAATGCGCTGTTCCAAGACTAACTAAGAACCTCAAATTCCAATTTAGTGAAAGAGTTTCTGCTTAAATAAACAGCTTACTGTGGACAAAACCCCCGGTTCTTTTCCTGATCTCCACCTCACTTTGGCTCAAGAGTGAAAAATAAAATACAAATAACCATGACTGAACTGGCTTCTGCTGCTTGGACAGAAACATTGCATATGTGAGCAGAATATTGAACTCCGTACTCCTCTCATGGCACATCTTTCTCATTATCATGCAGCCTAGAGTTGCTTATGGAGTGCTTGAACATAGTGTGATAAAACTAAAAGAGATTATTAGGGTTATTTTCTCAAAGACAAGTTACTGTTGTTGGAGCCAAAATATGTATTTGTTAATTCCGGGGATTGTCGATGAGAGGTGTGGTTTTGGTATGTTCTGCGGGTTATTTAAATCTCACTGGTGTGGTCAGACGATGGATAATTTTCTGTTGACCGTTTTTTCATCGTTTTTCACCGTTTCATCCATCCTGTTTTAACCTCATTTCAGCATATCACCTTTTCATTTGAAGGCTAAGTTTTGGACCTGGCTCAGCGTGTTTTCTTTCCATTTTTGAACAACAAATTACTTTTTTAACACTCAAACCGAACTCATAATTTAACGAGTCATAGATGCAAGCGAACGTAAACCCCAGCGGCCTTTTTACTTGAAGGAAAGCAGTCACTACAACCAAATTTTCCGGACTAAAAATCTCACTTTTTTCATAGTTTGGCTGGGTTTGCGACTTAAACTCAGGTGCGACTTATATATATTAAAATATAGAATTTCACATATAGTCCTACGACAGCTCAGACAAGAATCTTTTTTCTTCCTGCTGCTCCTTTCCAATCCTGGAGCTGTTGATTTGAACATGTAGTGTGCATGTGCAAATTCTGTTGTCCACTTTCATGTTTTTTTTTTTTTACTTGACCATATTTTTTGCACTATAAGGCGCACTTAAAATCCTTTTACCTTGTCAGAGCACTGCAGCTACCATAGCCTCGCAGAGTTATTACATGAGTTACTTAAACTTTGACTTAATGCGCTTTATAATCCAGTGCACCTTATAGTGCGATAAATACGGTAGTTACCTGAATAACTATTAATATCTTACTTATGAACTCAGACACCTATTGAGTTCGTCGTTTATTCTTCATGTAGCTGAATAACCATCAATGTGTTACGTGAGCATACCATACACCTTATCAGCCTGTTGTTTTCTATTCTATTGTTTTTATCATAACTTGCCTATCAAGATGAAATGTCTGTTCTTGTTCTTGGTTTTTGTGAAATAAATTTACCCCTAAAAACATGATTTATACCGGTAGGTGTTTTTTCTTCTTAATTATGCATTTTTTTGGCTGGTGCGACTTATAGTCCAGACAATACGGTAGTTTTTAAGTCCCAAATTATATAAATAATGACTATTGTGTGTTTTTATGTACATTGAAACCATACCCACACACACTTAGTATGATTCTCAGCATAATTAAACCCTGTAGCCCCACAACATAATCTGCTAACTTTGGTTTATTTGGAATTAAACCACAATTAATGGTGCAATGTCTCATTTCCTACATGAATGAATAAGTTTTCAATTTGCTTCAACTCTAATTCAAACAGACTGCAGCCAAGGCTCATTGATATTACAACTCAGACTCAGAACATATTCATAGTTTGACGTGTACTCTCTAATAATCTCGGCTCGAAGGCGCACACTTTTATGAGCTTTAAGCGTATCTCACTCACAAGAGCGGCGGCGATAAAATTCTCCATAAATGCAAATCCCTGCGGTGAGGACAGAAGCTGTCACCTTTAATTTAACCTGGACACCAAACTGGAACATTTCAGATTCAACGAAAACTGAAGATGAAATATGAAAAAAGGCAGGATGGTGACAGGGAAATAATGAGGAGAAAGTAAATGAGAGCAGTCGTGTCAGGTCTACATTCATCAGAATTGGTAGATTGGACTTGTCATACATGTTGGATTTACAGATATAATATCCGTTTTCGCTATTTAATGTAAAGTGATGGAAAAACAAACTTCTCATTTATACTTTTCTGTGTTTAAAAATCTCTGGTTTCAGTTTGTGTTTGTCATCAGAAGCCTCAAATTCTTCTTTCAAAATAAAAACATTTTTCTATGAATCTTTCACTGGCTGGTTTAAAAGAAAAAAACTCTCCTCAGCTCCAGATACATCAGGTTTTAGATTAAAATAGTGAAAAACTTGACCCCTGGGTTCAGTTCCATAGCAACGGCACTAAGAGAACAGCATGACTAAGTGCAGTGGAGCCCTCACATTCACAGTGCTGTGTTATGTTTTGCAGCAGCAGCAGCAGCCTGCATGTATGCAGCCGTCTGCGAGAAAAACAGGCTTTCCAAACGCCACATTCTGCCTCAGTTTTAGGCACAGAGAAAACTTAGAAATGATTGATGTTTGTTGCGACGAAAATCCAAAAGTTTGGCTTTTACTGGAGTGAAAGATGTATTTAGGCCTACGCGAAATGAGTACGTCATTAATCTGAAGTATGTGAAATATTTTAAATGCTCTTCAAGCGTAACATAAACAGCAATTTAAACCTACAGGCCTTCAAAGTAATTGCTTTCTCCAACAACCTGCTTTTGAGTTTCACAGAATGAAAAATGAAAAAATCACATTTGACCCTGTAATAACTGCTTATTGACTAAAACCACACAGAACAGAGCTGACAGAAGGCTAATGTATTCTGACAAACAACAGTTGGCTTTTTTTGGTGAAAAGAGGGAGGTGGAGGGAAAAAAAAAAAGGAAAGACGACAGCGAGAGCAGAGAAAGAGAGAGAGAAAAGGAGCGCAGCAGAGAGCAGATATAGGAAAAGGGGCGAGTGTCAGCTGTAATTAACAGTTAAAAGGCTGATGTACCAGCAGGGAGGGTAATGTGGAGGAAAGGGAACAGCAGACATTAGAACAAGGCCTTTGACTGTCACAGAGAGAGTGAAACTCATTGATGTGCAAAGACCGGGTTGGTGAGCGGACACAAATTAATCACAGAAGACGCCAAACAGCAGAGTGTAAACCCGTTAAAGTGGCGCACAACAGAGGAGGACAAACTTATGTAAAAATAAGGGATAATTTAACATCCGAACTTTTGAGCAGACCTAAAAGCCACTCGAGGGACGCTAAGACTTAAAAAAAAAAAAACTTTTTTTTTTTTTTTTTTTTGTGGAGATGCACTGAAAATTCAGCCACCAAAATTTTCTGGCCGAAAATGGACAAATAGCGTATTTTCGGTTTTCATCCGAAACACTTTTCTCACTGAAACAACAAAGACGAAAGCAAAAACCGCGATAAGCACTCGCTTGTCTGGATAAGAGCTAACATGTCTACCATGTTGACATATTTCGATGTATCTGAGAACTATGGATAGCGACTAGCGAAGCGTGTAATGCCAACATTTCAAAGTCTGGTTTAATTTATCACCTAAAATCCAAACATCCCGATTAATCGGCATTCTGAATATTCTTCACAGAGCAGGAAAATCCCTCTGAGCACGCCCACTCCGTCTGATGTTGTAGCCGAGTTCACAAACGGACATTAGGGAAAAGTTTAACTTCTTCTAACTTTTATTCATAACTTAAAACAAAAATTGACATTGCCAACTCATGCTCAACTCTTACTCTCGGCTGCCTGAAAGTAAACACGCTAATGTTCTTCTTCTTCTTCTAGCTGCGTCTGTACCGATCACAACAACGCTTGTTTTTGCCCCTGACTCGTGGGCGCCATCTGTAAACCACTCAAAACAAGCAGCAAACGTATCGACTTAAAAACTCAAAACTCGCGTTGCAATTGCATTAACATTAATTTAAAATTTAACATTAAATAATATTGATTTATACAATCGCAGTGCCTTGATTTTAGTAAACTTAGTATTAAATTTAGTAAATTTAGTATTAGTACAAAGTCATGGCCATAAATGCAATAGTAGCTACTACTAATTGGCATAATAATTCCTTTCCGTGTTTCAGTTTCGGCCAAGAATTTTCATTTCGGTGCATCCCTTTTATTTTGTTTTGCATCATTAAAACAAGATTGTGTTTTAAGGATTGTTACTGTACACCAGTATTATTTAACTTTAATTTCACAGTTTACCAATATTTTCATGCGTTAATAAAAACCTCTTATTGTTTCTTTTTAACCTGGGGAAGACAAAAAAACTGCACAATATTTCAAGAGTCTACTGTAGCAACCCTCCAGAGAAGAAACAAGTGACCTAATTCTCGCAAAGAGGAAGCTTGTCAGGAATTTCAGCATTAGCAGGCCAGGTCGGCGGCTTTAGAACAATAACAAACAAGTTCTGCCTTACTGTGAGCTACTGGAGAAACAGAAAAATAACAAAGTCTGCAGAAAATAACCCTGTAGCTGCGAACAAACTCAAACTAAGGAGGGAAATTTATTTGAAGTAATAAAGAGGGCTTGAAAAGACAGAATGACTCAGGGTAAAAGTGAGAAAGAGTAAGAGATCAAGAAGAAAGCAGCAGCAGCCGGAGACACATATAGAGACAGACTTTGGCCCAGCTGGATTACAGCCTATTTACAGTAGAGCTTGTCTTACTCCTCCTCCTTCTCCTCCTTCTTCCTCTCCTCCTTCTCCTCCCCTTTAAGACCAGGCAGAGGGAACAAGAAAGAATTTGTCTTTGAAAGAGCCAGAAAAGACGGCCAGCGAAATGTGACCACTGGCTGGGCAAATGCATCTATACAGTATGTATTTATATATGTGCACATATATGATTATATACACAGAATGTATGATTATATAAGTTGTACTCATGGTTAGGATGCGTTTTAGGACTTCCTTTGCATTTAAACTGTTGCTGAAAATGCAAAAAGGCAGCGCCAAAAAAAAGTTGGAAAGAGCACAGCCTCTTCAATTTGATGTCATGTCACTGCGAGGCCTGAAATAAATCATTTAAACCGCTCAATCCCTTCTGCATCTCTTAATATCTCGTCCTGGTTTTTATGGAGGCTAAGCAGGCAGGGTTGAGGGCACAGCAACCTTCACCACACTCGCTGTCTGAAGTAACTGGTTTCCTAATCCTTTTTCCTTCCTCTGAACTTTTTTTTAATCTAAATTAAGTCCCTCCCACACCTCTGTCGCAGTTCATCACTCTGTTGATGCACAAAAAACAGTTCTAATAATCCCTTTCTGTAGTTTAGCGGCGCTTATTGTATAAGAGTAGGAATGCTTGCATTAATCAATCTCAAGAGCTGTGGTTTCACATACAAGTCCCATGATCCAGCTCCAAGACAAAACTGTAATCACAGGGTCTCTTCAATCGAAAATTTAACTTTCAATGTGTAATTGGTTTGTATTCATTTACTGTGAATAAGAGACACATAATGACGGAGCTTTCACAGCTCAGATACTGTATTTGTTCATAGTTGGATATTGTAGTTAATGGTATCACATTATCAAAGCCTCAAAGCCTTGCTACAGTATAAATGTTACAGTGAGGAAATTAATTTGCCTGATATTGTTTAATTGGCCGTGAAAGCGCTCAAGGCAGCCTACAGTAGCTGGTACACAATCTTTAACACCACATCAGAGAAAAAAACCAGGGCAGCCCTCGTCACTTTCAATAAACGATTAGTGTCCACATTTCACATTACTTCAAAAGATGATGACAGGGAAATGAATTTAAAGGAATTTTTTCATCCTTATTTTATAAAATGGACTTGGATAAGGTGTCAATCAATCATGAGTCTTTTACTCACATGAGATGCTGATCAGCTCGGCTTTATTGTTGATCAGGTAGGGCTGCACGATAAATCGATTTTAATTCGCAAAACTTTAAAAATAAAAATTTAATTAATGTTAAAAAATTTAAAATCATCAAACCACCATAAGCTCCCCCTTCCAGCGGGCGCGCTCCCCAATTCCCACACACACCAGTGTAAACAAACATGGCGTTTGCAAAAGAAGGCAATAATTTCGTGGCTAAATAGGGCAAGAGCGAGTCAGTTGTGTGGAATTGGAATTGGCTTCCCAATTTCGGATGAAGAGCAAACCACTTCCCCGCTGCAAAGTCTGTCTGAAGGCAATATGAACCCATCCACACAGAAATGAATTCAGGAGTAAACACAATTTTTTTTTCGTATCGGCGTTTCATCCGGAAACAGCATTTAAGGTGACTGTAAACGGTACTTTTTGAAAACAGGTCAGCGAGTGTATAAACCTATAAAAGACTGCCATTTTATTTAAGTGTGGATGTCCATCTGCATCTCTCTTGAAACGATTATGTCACACACAAACAAAACAACCTCTATATGCATGCTCCGTACTCTTCTTCTGTCTCTTCGCCACTTACTGGCTTGGCATATGCACTACACCGTTTTCAGTGGTTTCGTTTTGAGAGATGATAGAAAAACTTTTTATTAAAGTGAAGTTTGGTGAAGTTGTCAACAAATAAAAAATCGAACTCGAGTTTTTAGAGAAAAAAATTGGGATTTTATTTTTCGCCAAAATCGTGCAGCCCTAGATCAGGACCTTTCTTGGCTCCCATGAGGCTTCGATGCCACATCACTTATCACCCACAGTTCCTTATCCAACTGACTTGCTGACTGTTTCTTAAAATTTCTTCAATTTTTTAAAACAAAGCCAAATGGAGGTTTGACCTTACTCATGAGCTGCACGACATGCTTTCCTAACTGAAATTCACCGTGCTGACTGTCCAAGAGTCGGACTGAGCTGGAATAACAAACTCAACTGTGTCTGCTGGATAATGTTCAGCATTTGTTGCTTTAGATTATATCGAACTTATCTCCAAATTCGCAGCATAACTATCAGTGCACTTTATTCTTGTGGGTTAAAGAGTAACTAATTCAATGGAGGGACATTCATGTGCAGTGAAAACCTCTTAACAGCGCAAATGATTACACCAACTTTAGAATTTGGATCTGACTTTCTTAAACTAGAATAAATATCTAATGAAACTGACTCTCTAACACAATACCTCATACAACCCCAGTTTGATACAGCTTTGTATGAATTTAGAAGTTATCAACAAGCACTGAGGTTAAAAATGTAAAAGTGCCGAAGCAAACTCTCTGTGGACGAGAGCAAATTAAAGTCTTCTCTTTTGTTTTATTGACAGCACGCTCTCCACAGTCCGTCCTGCTACTGAGAGTTTAAACCCAAAAAAACAGCTGCAGGCTCTGCTTTAATTTTGCAAAATGTGTGAAAATCAACAGTTGCAAGAGTCAGCTGCTGAAGATGTCTCAGGAGCCCGGTCAGAGGATTATTCTGGCAATGAAATTACACTCAGTGTATCAATAATGCAGTTTATTTATTCAACATTCAGTTCACTTTGTCTGAGTGCATCTGGGAGGATTGGCTGATTCATTTTGTATCACACTCTTTCTCAACTTCCGTCAGTTACTAAGAGTTGGTAACACTTTCCCCTTTGTCCCATTAAACTTCACATTCAGACATAGCTGAGAAGTGAGCTTTTCGCCTGCACCCTGACCTTTCACAAGCAAATAATTTGCTTCATTGGAGGGCCAGTTCTTGATGGCCAATCACTAGCATGGAGGCAGTGGTTCCAGCTGCTTCCAGTGACCCAGTGCAGCTAAATCACAGCCTTGTGTGGCGCATTCAAGATTGACAGGCAGACCTCTAGACCTCCTAAAAAGCTGCCTCAGTCTACCTAAAATACAACTGTAGAGGCTGTGTTACACAACACTGCTGGCCAGGCTCCAAGCTTGAGAATAGGGACATAAAAAACAGATACGGGAGAGCTTTGAATTATCTGTGACCAAGCTCTTTGTAAACAGATCCAACCTGTCAGTAAGTGGGGCAGGATGTGATGGTTCAAGGTTCTCAAAGAGTCCAGAATTTTCTGTGGAAGTGTCAGTCTACATGGGTGAATGATGGAGTTTTAAGTACACAAAGAACTACAAGAGTTTGAGTCACTTCCGAACGGAGGGTTCAGTTTCTGTTTCAATAAAGTAAAAGCAGATATATGTCCAGGATTTTTTAGCTCTGGCGCAGGATGGTAATGCCAACCAATTAACAACCCATTCATCTAAGTAGGGTTGTTTAAAACACCACTGCTGCCAGTGATCGAAATGACTTTCCTTGATTTCTGTGCATTTGAAATAAACAAGAATGATAGATCCGATACAGAGACTGCTGGAGAACAAAAAAGATCTGAAATGATGCACAACATATATCCTGGGGTTAATAGTAAGCTTACTTTCATGGGAATCCTGGTTAGGTTAACAACTTTGTGAAGGAAAGCCAACCCAAACATCCACCTTTGTGTTATTTTAGGCTGTATCATGTATTTTCTGTCTTGTTCTAGGCCTGCAGACCTAAACAACTGTTCAGTGTTGTGAGGAGGGTTGGGCATCGAGTCTCGAGCATCGATAGGAATCGGGACTAATATTCCTATTCTTCCTGAACTGTTCAACTTTTTCAAGTTTGATTCCAAGCTTCGTCCGCCGACCAGGAAAAATAGCCGCGAACACCAGTGAAGACGAAGCACATGAAACGAAACTGCAGAGTGAGAAAGAGGGAGTGGCGACGGTCAGAAGTTTGGCTAAATTTAGCAGGAAGAATGTTGTCTCGGTGCAAAATTAGCAACACAGTTATATCATGGAAAGGAGGGTGCACGACCAACAGGATTAAACACCTCTGGATTCATGGAGTAGAAATACCTGAGTGCCCTGTCTTCACCGGTCTTCCACTAACTGGTCAGAATCGGATAAGTAAAGCAATAAATGACTTCTTTCTTCTGCTAAAATTGAAGCGGCAAACAAGTTGTGACGGTGGGTCAACTTAAATACCTAACTAACATTAGCCTGTGTACTTTTTCATAGACAAACAACCTGACAACAAAGATTGATATTTATCTACTGGTTGAAAATAGCCCTGTGAAAAATTCCTTGTAAAGTTTGTAAAAAAGTTCATATAATCAAAAAAATTAATGGAGAAGTTCAGAAATTTCATCCAAAAAGAACTCTTGTTAGCGCCCTCATTTGAACCACGCAATTTTTTTTTATATTCTGCCTTTTAAAAGAATCGGAATAGAGAATCATTAGGAACCCGAATCGAAACATGGAATTGGAACTGGAATCGTTCAAAATCAAACAATGTTCAATCTTAGTTGTGAGCAAAAAAAGACAATAATCAAAAGGGCTTTCCAACGTCAAAGTGAAGTGCTAAATCCAAAAAGCACTCTGAAAAGCGCCCTCATTTAAACCATGCAATTTTTTTTTATATTCTGCCTTTTAAAAGAATCGGAATGGAGAATCATTTGGAACCGGCATCGGAATGAGGAGTCGGAACTGGAATCGTTCAAAATCAAATGATGCCCAACCTTAGTCATGAGCGTAAAAAGACGCTAAAACAAAACGGTTTCCAACATCAAAGTAAAGTGCTAAATCCAAAAGAACTCTGGTTAGCGCCCTCATTTAAATCACGCATGTTTAAAATATTCTGCCTTTTAGAAGAATTAGAATAGAGAATCGTTAGGAACCGGAATCGAAATAAGGAATTGGAATCGAACTGCAACAGGAATCGTCGAAAATCAAACGATGCCAAACCCTAGTCAGGAGCGTAAAAAGACGCTAAAACAAAACGGTTTCCAACATTAAAGTGAAGTGCTAAATCATAACAAACACTTAAATTAGTGTTTGGATAAGAGTTGATAACTGAGCTTCTGTGCCTGTTCTACTAATTTCTTAACAAAGAGGATAAGCTAACCAGGTACCTATAAGAGTGATATGGTTACTTTTTAGAGGAAAACCATGCAATCCCATTCAAAATAATTATTTCTTTAGTTTTTCGGTAAATATGCTGAAAAATAATTTCCTTAAACGTTATCAGTTACGGCTGATGATCAGGTGTCTTCATCAATAGGAAGAGGATTTCGCTTTATCCATAACCATGTAGCTTTCCCACTTTCACGAACAGCCACCGAGATCATACGTATTGTAACTTGGGGGTCTGAGAGGTCCTCTAGGGACACTAACTATCGGGTAAACTGGTGCCAATTTAGCTGCTGGATGCCTCACATGTGCCAGGGTTTCACAGCACCAGGCAATGCTTGCTTGGCAGCGGTCCAAAGCAGGATACGCTTCTCAAAAGACAGAGAGCAAGAGGCTGAAAAAGAGATAGATATTAAAAGACCTAGAGAGTTAACACTCTGTTGCCCCTTTGAAATTAAATAACCCGAATCAGTGTGCCTCAGAAACTCAGGCCAGAATTAAAGGTGGACGGTGAGTAAAGAGCCGGTAATAGATCTCGGAATAGGAGTGTTATTGTGTGGATCCTCCTGTTACACTGGAAGGACATCATTTCAAACTAGCAGAGTGTATTTTTAACAGAATTACAACCACTGACCCAGCAGCTTCTTCTACTACACAATATGAGCAGCAGAAATGTACAAATTTTATGTTGTAACCAAAATGAAACATACCGACCGGGAAATTAGGTTACTTTTATCGCCAGATGTACACTCAAGTATTTGACCCAGAATCCATTTTTGACTTTGTCCTATTTAAAACTCCACACAAAGTTAAACTCTCTTGCTTACAGGCCTGCTTTTTCTTCGTCACTTCAAACAAGGACAGAAAAGTACGAGGGCGGGGAAGGTAAAATGGACACACCTTCCACTGTTCCAGTCAATAATGTAGCTCATGTATTTCGAGCAATCAGTGAACTTGACTTGTTTGTTGGACAAAAATAAAAGTACAAGCCATGATTAAGTCCCCTGTTGCTCTCCCTGCCTCATGCAGCGCAACAAACAGTTTTCAAAGCCATTTTTATCCCGTTGACCATTTCCCTGCTTTTGTATATAATTTTGAGGACCGTAGGTAGGGACGTGAGTAATACTCTGCTGCTGACGAGTGAAAAATTAATGATACGCTACTTTGTTGAGCGGAGACACTTGAGGAAACGAAAGAGTCATAGAAAGAAAGAAAGTCTGAGTAAGAGACATCAAAGGAGGGTCTGGAGGAAAAGGAAGAAGGTACGGTGCAGGGGTGGGTGTTTTTACACTTCAGTTAATCACTGACGACTCGGAGTTGGTGCGGAGGATGTGGTAGGTATGCAACTCTTGCACAAGGGGCCTTAATCCTGAAATAATTTGCCAGAAACTTGGAGCAGAACATTGTTGACATTTAACCCAACGGTCCATTAACCCGGAAAAATCCTTAATCTTCAGAAATTAAATGTTTGGCATATGAAATGTCAAAAATAATGACAAAATCCCCCCCACACACACATGCATTCTTAAAGCCTTTTCAGAAAATCTGACAGTTATGCAACAAGAGTAGGAACCCACAGAGCTCGAATGGTTCACAATAATCATAATGCAAATACTCAAAAGTAGCAGCTGCAGTCTCACTGAGTACAGCGCAGGATTGATATACACATGTAGTCCACTAAACCAATTAAACATGGTCTTCCTTAATGGTATACACAAAATTATTAGTTGTTAAGAGAATTCATTACTGTATTATTATGACTCTAGGCCTACAGTGCCAAGCATATATTGTCGAAGGTAGAGCAGCAACTTTCAATGATAAAAGGCTTCGTCCATAACTCTATATTACTGTTATGTACACTCAGAAAAACAAATCATGGAAGATCTTATTTTTAAGTCTATTTGATTTTATTCAAATTATAACATTTTTTAGTCAGGCTGGGAAGATATGCTTCTCTCCTGATTCGATTCTTGTACAATTTTTTGGATGCCAACTCGATTTAAATTGCGATTCTACGATAAAATATTGTAGATTTTCTTGATTTTTAGTCTGCATTTTTGACACCAGTGAAACACTTGAATGATTATGATTGTATACTGACGATACAAGGAACCATATTTCCCCAAAAAATACACATCACAGGTAAGTCAGTTTTTAAGATTTACTCTTAAATTTGAAAAAAAAAAAAAAAGATTTTTGTTAAAAAAAAAAAAATCGATTTAAAAATTGTAAAACGAAAAATAGCGATACTTATGTGAATCGATTTTTTCTCACACTCCTATTTTTTAAAATGTGTTTATTCAAATTATTCTTAAAATTTGCATAAATCTGTTAATTGTGATAACATTTTAATTCAATCAGTTAAAATTTATGACTATGGTTTAAATCTGACGAGCTATGGATCAACCAAGATTCATTACTTAAAATTTAGAGACAGAAACAAATTGGATTTTTCAATGATGAACACATTAATCCTCATTATTTATTCTAAACACACTGGGTTTGTTGGTATTATTACTTAAATCTGATTCTTAATTGTTATATTTGCATTTGACTGACAAGTATGCAGCACATAAAGTTTTTTGGCCTGTTTATTTTAAATCTAAGTAATGACAATGGATACAAATTGTATAATGAGGCCTATATATAGTATTTCTGTGAGTGTATGGACTTTTTTACATTTGAGTGTCCAAAGTGAACAGGTTGAGATTTTAGTCAGAAGACACCACTTGAATTTGCAGATGACAAGATAAGTTATATCCGATATGTCCACAGGGGGCTCCAAAGTTGACACCAACTTAAAGTTTCTCACAGGAGCTTTACGTTTTTAGAGATCAATTTAATTTAGCATGCACATACACAAATTAAAACCACATATTCAGTCACGAGAATGACTCAGATTTCCACTTGTCTTAACTGTTCGGCTTCAGCAGAACTTGAACAAATTATACCCAAACAAAGAACCAGCCGGAGTCGTTTCCTTTACCTACACAAAGATGGTTTACCTTGCAGCGTATAAGGTGTTCTTTAAAATTTAATGTCGGCCAACAGTACTGACCTCACATGCCCTGTGTTCAGTATTAGCAGCAACCTGAGCCCTGACAACAACCTAGAAGATCACACGCTTTGGAAAGCTACCAGCATTTTCCACATGTTTGAATTATAGCCAAACCATGTCAATAAATAAGCAATAAAAATAATCTGGCTGACACATTGCCTCTTGTATCCCACAGGTCTATTTCATTTCCAACATTGCTTTGGCGGGCAAAAACTGTCTCCCGTGTAACTCACAGCAACATATTATCACCACAAGCTAAAGCAGTTTTAAAAATAGTAGCAAGCCTTAGCGCTGGTGGTGTCGAAAATAGATGCGCTCCAGACACAGAGGGGGCTTCTATTTTAAAAGAGTGACGGAATAATGGCTGAGAGGTGGGTCAGTACTCAGAAACAAATGAAATGAAACAGATAAGCGAAAGCCGGGGTCAGTTTGGTGTCACTTCAGTCAACGCAGGAGCTGGCGGCACATCTTTCTGCAGTTATTCAATCCAAATTTGTGACAGGTACGGAGCACAAGTTCAACAACAAACTTCACTGACTCAAACCCCAAAGAGAGAGAGGTACAAAACCTACAACAGTAACGTCTCTGGGCTTAACCTCGTGTGTCCCGTACAGACAAAGTTCAGTGATAAACACAATTACCCACCAGCCTGTCAAACAGCTGCTTGCTCTGTCTGGATGATAAACACAGTCTACGCCTGTTTCCACCTCGGGCAGTGTTGATACCAATCCATGCAGGACCACGATGACACCACCCACCCAGACAACTCAAGCATTTCTCCCAATGCAAACATTCAACTAACATTGCTGCTCCTGCATGGGGGGGCTTTTAGGAAAGTGAAGAACCAGAGAGGCCCGGGCCGAATTCTGTCTTCATTCATTTTTCCATATTATGTTGTTTAAGTCTCCCACTGAGTTTTATAACTTTTGTTGCCTTGTACAAAAGCTATAAGATCAAGAAGTGGACACAGTGTACAGTCACCAGAGGAGCATGGGACATTAAAACCCGGGGAAAATGAGAAAGTGCTTTCACATTCACCAAACCGCAACATCCAAATTGCTCTCTGCAGTGTTGACTTTGGAAAGTAAAGTGCAGCCTACATGTCCATCAAAACAGGGAGGACAGCTTGTGCGATGGCATCTGAAAGATTCAGGTTATATTGAGTTATCCGTAGTCATTAAAAAGGGTATGGGTGAAATAGGAAGACAAATCCCTGAGTAGTTAGATTTCATGTTCCCAAAAAAGTAAGGAAATTTGGAATATTTAACCACTTGGATCTTGATTTCAGCAAACACACACCAATAAGTGGGTCACCTGGAACTATAAAGATCTTGATCTGCACTGAATCCCACTAATGGTACTTTGACCGAGACAAAATGAGGTCATTATCAAGTTTTCCCCCAAACACAATCATTAGATTACACAACGACAGCTCCGTGGGTTGAATGTTTGCCTCCACATGTACAGTAACCTTGGTCAGGTAAATTATTGACCACTCTATGGCACAAGGTCCTCTGCGTTGTCTGGTGGCAACCTGTGACATGTCAGCCTGAACATGGGCAGCAATCAAGTCTGCAAACACGAGGGTTTTATCTGTTTGTGTTAAAGGCTGCATATCCACACATGTTAAGGTACAAAAATGCTCGGCGATTTCACTCTGAAGCTACAAAATCCAACTCGAGCAATCCACCTGCCTGCTCGGTATTAGCATTCACACCAGAAAAAGACAGCCTCCGTGGCCTCAGTCTTCAAGGCCAAGTGTCAGTTTACACCAGCTGACAATGCTCTTAAAAAGGGCGCCCAATAAAAATATATTTTACAGGCACAGAATAAATAGACAGCTTATCGTTAGGGGAACTTGATGGAGCTTTGCAGTGTGAAATGTTTTCGGCTTCATCAGGCACTGTAAGGTCACAAAACTATGTTTTACTGTAGGTTTTACAAACTTATTCTGGCACGTCACTATTTTTTTTTTTTCCCTTTTAAAACTAAGAATAAGACTAAAAGTTCTCACCGCAAAGACAGAACTTTGAACTTTTCCAACCCATTTTTATTCAGGCTTGTTTCTGTATGTTATGTAGGGTTTAACCAGGACTCTGCAACTTTACACAGTTTACTGTGAATGTGCTTCAATATTTAACTGGCTCATACATGTGTGCATTACCTTACAAGGACTGAATGCCAACTAAGCTAACATTTGCCAGACAAGGACTTTGTTTACCCCATGTTTCAGTGATCTGTTGCTAAGTGATGTCAGATCAACTGCACTCAATTTGGCCATTTTCATACTGTTTTTAAATCGTAAGACTAGGGTGCGACTGATATGGATTTTTTGGGGCCGATGCGATACCGATTATTAGGGGGGAAAAAATCTGATGACCAATTAAGGTAGTTAGTGGATGAAGATTGTCATGAGGTCGCTGCGCCATCTACAGGATAAGTCGGGGAACTTTTTAAATGGCGGAACATTTTCGAAGCGAAACCGAATCTTATTCTCCGCATTTTATTTCTGAAAATATTGGCGAAAATCGGCGAGTTTTGGCCGATTACAGATTAGTCTCAAACGGGCTAAAATTGGCCAATTTAATCGGCTCGTCAATAAATCTGTCGGGCCCTAATTATAATAATAATAATTGCTGTTTTTATATAGCACCTTTAAAAACAGATGTCTACAAGAAGAAGCAAAACAAAAGCAAAAACAGATAAAGGAAAACTGACAGTTAAAAATGGACAGTCAAAGATTGGTGGTTGGTGGTTGACGGCATCACATCAGGAAGTTGAAAAGGAAGAAGAAAGATAGAGGACAGATAAAAGAGGAAGAGAAATAAATCCTTAGGTAATAAAATAAGATAAGGTAAAATAAGAGTTATAATGAAAAGGGAGGGAATATTAAAACATGAGAAAATGTTAAAAACAGCATTAAAAAAAATAATGATGTAAATATTTCACAAGGTTAAACAAGAGGAAGTACAGTTTAGTGGAGTAGAATAGTTTAATTATTCATTTAAACAACTAGGAAATCAGCTCAAGGACATCCCACTCTCTGGTCAAAGACTTCGATGTTTTTCAGCCAACCTATACAGACATTTATATACAGTTTCCAGGCTTCAAATGTTGGCATGACTGTGCGTTTTTTTCACAACAGCCATGAGCCTTTACTTTGAGCCTGGAGGAATTCAACTTGTTGCTCAGGTGTAAAGAGGTCTGAACCTGCGGCCTCCTGCTGAATGTTTCCCTAGTTACTCCGCCACCCTGCCGAGTCTTGTCAGGTTAAAAGAAAACTCCTGAGCCTTGTTTCATGAAAAGTAACCCAGTAAAGGGATCATGTATTCACCCTGCTTTGAAGGCCTGGGGCTGAATTCAAATCACGTGATTTTATACTCTCTTTAAAATGTTCTTCTTCCTGTGGGGGAGATAAGCTGCTATTAAACATTCAAACTTGGCTACACACCCAGGTACATACAGATACTTGAATCCAGCCAAAAACTCTTTACTTTCAAGTATAAGCACATATGTACAGGGAGTATCGCTGTGTGTCTCCTACTGATTTAAAGTACTCTCCCACATGCTGCTTTAAGAAAGAGGAACAGCAGAAAATTAAAGAGGAGAAGAAGCAAAGGGACAAACACAGAAAGCAATGATACAGAGGGATTGGCGCCCAATCCCTCTAAGGTTTTTTTTACACTAACAGGCTAGCACTGGAAAGCAGCTAAGGCGGTAAATTCCACTAACTTGATTCATCGATCAGAAAACAAGTTGTGGCACATCAGAGAATTACAGAACTTGTGGTGAAAAACTGCATCTCTAAAGTCATGGGATAAGGAGACTTTCGTTTGTGTTAGTAGAAATCACTGAGGCGTCTGAGTTTGTGCTCAAAACACAGAAAAAGAAATTAAAGGTAAAAGGATCTCTCAACAGAGTATTTCTTTCCAAGCAGGTTTAGTCAGAATTTTCTAACTCATAATAAAAATTCAAAGCGAACAAAGCGCAGTTTAATCCTTTATTCACGCCACACTCTGCTTAAGTACTAGATTTAAGTAGTGCTGCTAAAAGCGGAGATTCCTGCAGTGCATTAAAGCAGAAGCTGGCATAAAAAGCATAAATGAACCTTTTCAAAGGTTTCAGAGATGAAGCCTGTATCAACAATAAGGCATGTTTAATTATAGAGAGAAGGATTTTTTCATGCCATGATTCAAACTGAGGTCACAAAAAAAATACTAAACCCACTTAAAATGTAGGTCTTGGTGACAAACCAGGTAGGAAACCTGTTGACGCTTCTTCTCAGGGTATTCGGGGTCACTGAACGGCTTGATTAGTATGAGTCATATGTGCTGTGGCATCTGCAGTCATCAGACCTATGGGAGCCTTTACATCAGCATGCATGAAATTCCTCTGCAGCATTGTTATCATCTCCGTTGTCGGCTGCGATGTTGCCTTGGCATTCTTGTTTGTTTTCTTTGCTTATAACCAGAGTGTATGCACAAGTCGCTCAGGATATATATGCAGGAGACAGACGCAGAAGAGAACAAGCTTTTTCATTGTTATTTTGGTGTTTGTGGTGGGGCGAAGCTCACCACCTCTTCAGGGGAAAAACCCTGAAGTATGCTGCACGTTTCAGGTCATGCTCATTTCGAGCCGTTACAGATCTTTGTTTTGTTGTTCTCTGGTGTTCCCTGCTTCTCACTTTTTCAGATGCTAGACCTGTAGTTGTTATCTCTAAAAAAAGAAATCCATTAAAGTAAAGTGGAGTGATTTAGCTCACTGCTTTGCCATTTTTTGAGAGATGTCGCAGTACTTCCAGCTTTGAGAGTTGTGACCCCCAGTAGTTAGTGTGTAATGTTGTAAATGTTTGTCGTCATGAGTGGGTCGCTCACGTTTTCAACATCCTTTAAGGTTTTCAAGGTTTTGTTTGGGCGAGCATGGAGCTGAAACATTACATATTTGGTCAAGCTGTAAGATAAACACACCAGATTCTGACAATATTTGTTCAGTATTTGTTATTCATGGATTACACTTGGTACAAAGGGTCAAGACTGTAAGCTGTCTGACCCACTATGGCTCGTAAACTTCCCATGCCCGCGTCCTGATTAGATTATCATCAAACATTACAAGAACAATTCTCCTTTAATTCAACAGTGATTCGGTCAGTCAGGGATATATCTATCTTCACCTCTTGCACATTTGAGCACAGTTTGCTCACAGAATTGTCCGTATGTAGCAAAGGGAAAGAAATAGACTCCTGCGTCTGACAAACAGACCATATTATTGCCTCCATGCGGGCAATTTCTGGTCCAATTTCCGTCTGCACACCGACTAAAGTCTCTATGGCAAGTAAGCCCTTGAATTCATGACGTCAGCAGCACATACATGCACTCACAGGAAGTTTAAAGCCCTCTGCTGATGGCCATCACATAATTCATTCGACAAGGATTGGTTCAGAAAGAATCCTGCCGGAGCTCTCATACTCTCTTCTGAGAATGGCTCGTCTATACAAAGAATTCACCTCCCAGCAAGCTTCCTCCGCCATACAGCCATCACATGATATGCACTGAGGCATTTGTGAGTGCATAGGTTTGTCTGTTCGCAGTGCAGCAGAGTATACGGGTGGAGAATGTATATGTTACATACAGCGAATTAAGAGAAATCATACAGGCTGTTTTTGAAAGAAGACGAAGCAGAAAAGGAGTGGAGTAAGAGAAAGCAAGCAAATTAGTGGGGTTTTTTGGGGGGGAAATATAGTAATAAATAGTAGTAAATAGAAGTAAATATTTGGGGTTGGAGAAAAAAATCGATACAACATAGTTTCAGGATATTTTGTCTGGTGGTATATTGTATCGTCTCATTTACTGAGTAATGATTTTTTCAAATTAATTATTAATATGAAGTCAAATCTATGATAATGGAAAAATAAAATCAATTGTTTGTCCAGTGAGGTTGGCAGAGGTGAAATCAGAGAGCAGGAGGAAGTTAGTACAAAAAATATAGCATCACGTGGGGAAAGACATTAGAAATGCAAGCAGGGCACAAATGAGATGGACCTGACACACAGGGTTTGCAAGATGTGCTACATGAAAATAAAATACAGTGTAAATAAGACAAACATAAAAGAAAGACTAATGCTAAATTAGCTTAAGTTGAAAAAATGGTATAAATCGCAATATATCGTATCGCTTACTCACTGTATTGCAAAATGTTAAAAATCACAATAACATCATATTGTGGCTCAAGTATCCTGATAATATCGTATCGTGATAATATCGTATCGTGGCGCAAGTATCGTGATAATATTGTATCATGATAATATTGTATTGTGGCCCAAGTATCGTGATAATATCAAATCGTGGCCCAAGTATCGTGATAATATTGTATCGTGATAATATTGTATTGTGGCCCAAGTATCGTGATAATATCAAATCGTGGCCCAAGTATCGTGATAATATCGTATCGTACTGGTAATTCCCATCTCTAGTAAATATATTTTAATATATGAAATGGCCGCTCAGGTATGTAGAGAAGAAGGAGAGTGATTTGGAGGATACCTCTTCTGAACTGAGGTGTGTTCAGAAGAGGCAAATTGTGCATCATTTGCATCATTAAACAAAAGACAGTTTCTGATTCTAAACATGTACAGGTTTAATTTTTAAATGTGAACTCAAAACTTATAGGCAATTACAAAATTTGCTCTCATAAAAGCCATGATAAAAAAAAATCTGTTTTTGTATTTTCTTCTTTTAAGCAGCTGACAATTCCATATAATGTGCAATAATCACCAACCAGATGTTGAAAAGTGAAGTACAAGTAATCCTAGAAAAAGAGACCAAAGATCTCAGACTTATTCAGACCATTTTACAGCCATAATAACAAAATATCTCCACATCACCATTTGTGGCCTCAGTAGGTAAAGGGTTAAACTGCATTAGATGAAACTGAGACTGATATCAGTTATATAAAAAAGTATGATTAGTGTATCATACTGAGGGTTTGTATATCACATTCAATACGTAACTGGTATCCATAGAAATCAATGACTTTTAATCAAACTTTATTTATTTTTTTATTATTATTTTACTGATTTTAACAGAATTTTCTCCTTCTTGCTAAAAAGTACCACTAATGCCTCAAAAGACTGGTCTGTTATTCACAGCAGAGGTCTGCTATAAAAAAAAATAACACACTTTAGAATTCCAGAACCGACCAATCAAAAAACTGTTTAATAACATGACATCAATAACCACCTGTTACCACGCAATCAAAGCTCAGTGTTTTTGCTCCTTCTTGGTATTTTCATCATTTTTCTTTCTTTACTTCAAATATAGACCGAAATACAGAGGGAATGTATACAAAATATAGAAGATACATGGAATAAACCTGCAAAAACAGGTTGAATCCATCATGCCACTCGCTGCATATGCCTCGAATATGTTGCTCACGACACCTTACACTGGTGTAAACATACCAGCAGGCAGTAAAACAGCCTTAAAAAAAGAAACAGCTTGGCTGCTAAGAGGCCTAGGCCTTCTCTCTGCACTACAGTGACCCCATCTAAAGCCGACATGAAAGACTCAGTACAGTAGACCCCAGAGAAGGGGGGGCAGAGCAAAAACAAGGAAGACGGGTCACAATGAAAGAGCGTCTTGTTGAGAAACAGGTCTTGGCTGATGATCAGAGTTGAAATGTGCTCTCCTCTCATTCTCTGTAAGTACGGATGTTTATGACCCACAAAAACATCCAAGGTTCTCGCTGACTGAGTATTCACGTCTAATTATAGGAACTAGAAAGTGGTCATTCAACGGTCAAGAAGAAGCAAAAGGCAAAAAGGACAGCAAAGCGTGGCCTTATGTACAGCAAAGGTTAAGCCTATTGAGCAACAGGAACTCAAACAAACAACGTGGATTGAGGTTGGCATAATCTTGGAGATTACAAGTTCAGGAAACTGAGTCAACAGACATAAGTCTGACCTAGTTTGGCTTGTTTTATCTGCCTTCTGCTTGGCTACCCGTTGTGAAATGACTATTGAGGACACTTACAGTAGGACATGAAATTCCCTGTGTGCACTCCATATAGTACTGCACACAAGAAGCACTAATGTTATGGTGAATATATAAGGGGATGGAAGGGAAAACTTTGAAGTTGAAGTTATGAAGTTGTATCATTAAAATTAAGTTTTAAGATGCATCATATTTTCACCATTAAGTGTAATTACAAAGACCAATAGTGGTTACTCTGAATTTTTAACATCATCATATCTTGCAATTAGGGCTGGGCGATAAAACCATAACAATATATCAAAAATCAATTTCCCTTGATATCGATTTGATACATGGTCAATATGCTTTTCGATAGTCGGCATTCTGCCATGTTTTGGTAGACTATACGAATAGCCAATGAAAAGGGGAGTTGCTCTGGATCCGCTTCGAGCTGAACCAATCATGTGCTGAATTAGAACCAAGTAGCAAACAACTGTGTAGTAGCAGGCTGCAGCTACACGCAACCGTAGCACTTGGAGAAAAAAAGATAATGAGTGCTACCCCGGCAGAAGTGCAGATGAAGCCTCAACAGATGACGACATCGTCGACAACACTGGCACGAAAACGTCAGTGGTGTGGAGGTATTTTGTTTTTTTTGAGGTCGGACATGAAGCAGAGTCGAGTACATATTCTCACAAACTCGGGGAATACCTCAAATCTTTTTCACCACCTGGAGCGGCGCCACGCGGCAGAGCACACGCAACGCAAAAGGTTACAAACCCCAAGCGGAGCAAGGAGCCCATGGCACCTGTGCAGCTGAAACTGCCAAAAATTCTGCTTTTTCTAGCACAACGCATCACGACAAAACGTAGAAGAGACACAAAGATCTCACAGATGCAGTAGCTTATTGTATTGCTAAAGACATGCGACCAATAAACACTGTTAAATTTCTTTTTTTATATCGGGATATATATCGATATCGACTGATATGAAAAAAATATATCATGATAAACTTCTGCCCAATATATCGCCTAGCCCTACTTGTAATGTAGTACATGCAGAAACTTAATAAATAAAATCAAATAAAAATAACTATGGTTTGTTCCAGAAAACCCTGTTCTGCTGAAGTTTAAATCTAAAGTAACTCTTTTATAACTAATGTTGGTTAATTATTAGACATAATTCACCCCGAATCATCGATTTGAACAGCAGAGTTCTAGGAAATGATACAATTATCATGCAATTTCTCTGAAGGTGAATAAATAATCATGTGGAATTATCACAGCAAGTTCCCTGATGATTTTTAAAAATGCTTTATTTCGTGCTGATGTAATTGTAGGAAAAAGATTTCACTGAATATAGTTTTACTGTTTTGCCTGAGGGTGTTTTTGCTTCAATAGACAGAATTCACAGGAAAAAAGCAATGCAATGAAGTTGCAACTCCTGGTAACAACATTGATACGTCAGATTAATCCACATGCAAGAGTTTGCAAAAGAAGAACAATAAACCAGAGACCTAAAGAGCTGCGTACAAACGAGGCGGCTCTCAGAGTAGCAGGCGGGAGGATAATAATAAAAATCCACATTCAATGCCTCATTGTAATCACCGTCATTATTTACTCACTCATTCTCATTAATGAAACACGCCCCACTGGTTCTAAAATTCATCACAATAACTCATGTTTATGTTCCTGCTGCATAGATTCTCCTTTCTATTGGCCTCTTGGATCATCCTCCAAAATCTGAGAGCAGACGATCCGCTTTGTTCTGCGGCTTCGTTCCCTGGGGAAGGTAAGGTTATCATGCAAAGTTTCGCTGCATGAAACTCTCCAAAGTATGACGTTGAGGCCCAGCAAATCTGGGCCTTGAAGCAAATTTCAAGTTAGAATATCTGCATGCATGGGATCGACAGGGAACCCTGTAATTTGGCAGTGAGAGAGTTGAAGTAGCTCAAGGTTACCAGAAGTTTAAGAATGAAAATGTTTTTCATCGCACCAACGAGATTTATTGAACACAAAGCAAGACTTGAGGCAATGTAAACAACTGCGGAGTTGACAAATGCTGAAAAGTTATTTGAGTCAGAGCATGAAGTCCATTGAACCGGAGCAGTTTTTGCATTATTTAATCCATGCAAAAACAAATGAGCAGCACCCATTTTAACAAGCTAAATGTCAAAGGAATCATTTTCACGTACAAAAAAAACTATGAGTATGTGTGAAGGAGTTTCTCCTTGAACATGCAAAACAAGCAGCACACTTCTAACATAAGTGTGTGTGTGTGTTTGCATGACATCTGTGTGTGTGTGTGTGTGTGTGTGTGTGTGTGTGTGTACAGCTTGTGCATGCCTCAGTGAAATATGGAGAGCTCTGAGGGGCCCGTCAGGGGTGAGTAGGTGAGAAGAAAAAAGTGACTGAATGACAGTCTGAAGATAGAGAGAGAGAGAGAGAGAGAGACGCAGCAGTGCTGTACAGCAGATCTGTACACGTGGCCTCCCAGCATCCCTAGTGTGTGCATATATACACACTGACAAATGCAGCACAGCTACGGAGAAGACTCGACATCAAACCTGCAGCCTCCTTTTTTTCTCTCTGCATGAGTAAGAGTAATTACAGAGGAGGTGTCACACTTGGCGTTTTAAAGATCAGATTTATATGCACGACAAAAACACAGTAATGCATTGTGCAATTAATTTTATCTTCTGCCTAAAAAGAAAAATGTGATGTTGCAAAAGGAAAAAAAACAACATAAATCATTAGGCTTAAAAAATAAAAATTTTTTTTGAAAAAACAAGTTTACTGCTATTCGAAGAATTTAACAGAATGCTTGTGAGGCCTCGTTTCACCCTGGGCATGAAGTAACAGCATTTGTCTATTTGATTATCAGTTATATAACTATGAGCTGGAGCCAAGCAACGTGATTTGAGCCAAACTGTGCTCCAACTGTGCAGTAAATTCCCATAGAACAGCGAGGTGGGCTTGGTAATATACAGTACCGTACCGTGGAGTTGGTTGCTAAGGAAACTCACATGGTAGCCAGGCAGCCAGTCATTTATCTGTTTTCATTCATGTTTTGAGATACACCAAGCATCTGAAGTGGACCTGATACAATGCAATCCGATGCAACAGCACAAGGGCATCAGCCTAAAAATGTACAAAAGAGCCCCTTTGTTTTTTTACGGAATGCTCCTTTAAGCGAGGTCAAATGTACCGCACATCTCTGTTTTCCTCAGATCAAACAGTTTGCTGTTTAATGTTGCAATGCATTGTGTATAGCTGCCGTGGATTTCCCTTCAGTTAATTACAGTATATGAACTCCATCAATGTCCAATGTACCGTAACCAGGCAGAACTGGCCGGGTATAATTACAGTGAATCACACAGCCACCATTAGAAAACATGCACATCAAAATGTAACAGGCTTTCTGTTTAAATCAGTCACTCTATTGACAGAAGAACAATCTTTGACTTTTTCATTACTGATCACTTTTCACTTTCATCATCCGAATCTTCAACACTGTCTCGTCCCGGGTGAGAATTTACCTTTTGTCTCATCATGTGAAGATAGACTAAATGTATCTCTCTTTTTTACTATTTACACCAAATACAGTACGATACTGTCTGAGGCAGATCCTACACACAAGTGTGATTGATATGCCAGTAAAAAACGCATAAAGATATGTTTTATTACGTCACAGTGTTTTACAAGTGTGGTACAAAATCTAGCTTAAGCATAGGGCTGGGCGATAAACCGAAAATTTACTGATACCAAAATTTCCGACAATAACAGACATCATTTTGCCCAAGTCAATATATTCTGTGTCAAAAAAATAAATAAATAAAAGCTGGTTTTGGATGGTCTCGTGTCCCTTTAAGACGCTGTCCTACGTCAGAGATGTGACTCCTCCTCATCCAGTCCGTAACGAAGAGGGAAAGACAGGTGAGGATATGGAGGACGGTTCAAAAGTTGTAGCGGCTGAAGTAGACGAAGTTAATGTGGGAGGGGGTGAGCAGCTTGTGGAGTAGTTATCATCCATTTATCGTTATCGAGGTGATCTGCTCGATATATCGGGATACTGATTTGAGGCCATATCGCCCAGCTCTACTTCAGCATAATCTTAGTCACATGCAGCCAGAGCCCTCACAACCACCAATATCACCTACAGCTGAGCTCAACTACCATGACTACCAAGAGTTTACCACTAGAACACAGTTAAAAAGTTTTATTTTTTGTTTATGTGATGAACTTGAAATCTAGGCGCAAACAAAACCATGATTGAGATTAATCATTTATGAATTGTAATTTCTTATGCGTCAAACCGGTGCGAGTGGGTAGGTGCCAGCAGAATTGATTCTTACGAAATAGCCCTTTATTAACAATTTTCACTGAAATTTACTCACATCAAAAGAAACATTTGCTATTCAAAACTCAGCAGGATTAGACTTTTTGTCAGAAGACAGAATTTCTGTTACTGCATATAAACAAGCAAGGATCCCATTACATGATACTTTTTTATGTGTGTGTGTGTTTTAAGTAAAAATAAACCTAATTTGTGCTGGTGTATATTGTATACATGGAATTTCATCAACACTAGCTCATTTTACCCTCCAAGAGACCACCAAAACTAAAGATATTTTTACTGCTTGAATATATCTCAGTGAAACATCAAAATTTGTTGGAATTTTTGATTCTTAGCAATCGTCTAATTGATTTCATAGTCATTTCTTTTTGTATTCGAGGCAGAATTCTTAGTATTAAGTCGCAGGTCAGTTTTGTAATCTCACTGACCACGAGCTAATATTATCTCCCTCTAATTTCATAGATTATTTGGTTATGAGTAAATCTTGGAAATTCTTATTTTTGGCAAGTTCCCGTGAGAAACTTTTTCGTGGTTATGAAACAGATGGAAACTAACAGTCATGCCTTTTTGTGACCTAAAAACCAAATGCATAAGGACTGACATTTTATATTTATATGTTGTATTTTTAGGGCCTGTAATCGCTGCAAGGTTGGTAGGGGAAACATCACGCCGTTCAAAGAAAGCAGGATGAGGTTATTTATGTCTAGAAACACAAGTTTGAGGATGAGTCGAGACTTGTTAGGTATCAATTCATTCAAAAAAACACAAACTGAAAGTCCTTAACAGGGGCTCTGAGCTGAACAGTAAAGCCTTTTGCGATGCACTCTTTGAACCCGCAGAGAGTCAGCACCCTGCATCAGAGGAACACACTCTGAAAACATGCTGGTGCATCTACCTGGGGATAGCCTGGGGACGACAGACAACTGCAGCAGGGCACAGATTCTTGGCATGAGCAAATGTCTGTGTAGCAAATTTTGTTTGTTTTTCTTTCTTTAATCCAGAGACAACTGAGTTGACCTTGTGATGAAATACGAAGTGATATAACAAGGGTTGCAAAACAAGCCTGTGTTGAAAAGTCAGGGAAGTCAGTCGTCTTTCTTTTTTTTCTTTTTTTCAACACGCTCTCATCGGTCAGTTTGTGGAGAAAGATACAACAGCTAAGAAGCTTGTCATTGTCACGTCATGAAGACGACGGTGACCAACTGACTCATATTATCACCTGGTTTTAATCAACCGCCAACCTGTGATCTGCTCATTCAAATCCTGTTTACAAAGAAGCTCATAAAAACCACAAAATAAGTCCTCTCTCTCTTTTACTGTCCTGCTCAAACACCGTTTCTCCGTTATCTGACAGGACTTTCCAGCTAAGGTGAGGTAAGTCCGGCACATACTTTTCATTCTTGACTTTCATCATTTCCTTTCACATCAAATCTGACCATAGAGCGTCCTTTTGAAATGTACATATTGTGTGCTCTCAATGAATCATTTCCTGTGGGACGACGAGAATTATGTAACCCTGGATTATCTTTATAACAAGCGAGGGAACGATTTTAGAGAAATACCAGAGGGCGAAACATGAACAAACACTAATAGGTTTATAAAAACCTCAAGTGACAATGGCCCTTGGAAATGTTATTTTACTTTATGATCTCTGACATTTGACAAGCCTCATGAATCAATCAACCCTTTAACTTGCAACCAAATCAGTTAATAATATCGCTGTAGGAACCCCTAGAACAGCAATACTGAGAAAACACAGGACCGGAAATTACGCCTTATTCCACTTGAAAAGTCTGTGATTATCACCATCTCAGCATAACTATCTTCCTTTATTACACAACAGTATTTCTATCCTCTCCTTACTCCCTGTGACCTCAGAAGTCCTAACCCGATTTGTGTCTTTTTCTTTCCATATCAGCCTCCTCTGACAGTAATCATCTTAATAAAGTCCATTTTTAGATTCTTCAATTCGCCGCAGCATTCCTAAAATATGATGTGATGCAAATGATTCGGAGGAATGTTAGTAATGCTTTGTCTGCCAGTTGGAGATGATCAGCACCAGATGCCCTCTGCCCTCAGGGTGCGAGCTCTCCGCTCAGAAAGAAAGTCGCAGACGAATACACAAAAGCACCTGTTCGCTCTTTTTGTGTGGGAGTTATTTTCTTTTTCTGTTAGGGTTGAATCAACTGCTCTCATTTCCCCAACTGTGCACTCGATGAAGTCTAAAGCAGGGGAACTGAAGTGGCCTGATGCATCACTTCAAAAACGGTTTGATTTTGAGACACCTCGGCAAAGACGAGCGCTTTTTTTTTTTTTTTGTGTGTGGATTCAAGAAAAAGAGAAAACAATCAGTGTCTTCTGGCTTAGCTCATTTTTTCTTTCCTGTAAATTGCTTCAGAGCATTCTGGTTATTTATTCAAGATAGACAGACTTAACCTGATGACTAATAAAGAGCTGAAAACAAATCTGAAGAAAAGTTGCACTAATAGTCTGTTTGGTACAACGGGGTCTTTTCATTCCCAGAGAAAGCAAACACCAAAATCCGCCACTGAGAGAGTACAAATAAAGTCATCCATGCGTCTTACCTGGTGAAGCTTGAGACAGGAAAAGGTGCCATGGCTGTGGTTGAGGGCAGCCCATCATCACCTCTCTGAATCCCGGATGACTCTCCAAACCTGTTTCCCCTGGCCCAGCTCTCCCCCACCAGAGGCAGGTTGGAGAAGGAGCCAAAAGGCTTCTGGTCTTGTAGACCAACTGTAGAGGACGCACTGGCTCTGTAGTGGTAGCCAGGTCCTGCTCCAACTCCTATAGGCCCGGGCATGTGGCCTCCACCATGGAGGGAGCCCAAGCTGCTCTGAAGACACTGGGCCTGGCAGTAACCAGCGCCGTCCAGCTTCTCCTGTTTGACCGAACCGGGGGTGCAGATGCGGATGAAAGAGTCGTCCGGGTCTTTCTCCTCCTTGATCATGACGCTGGAGAGAAGCGACACAGGAGGCTGCTGTTGATGGTGAAGCTGTTGCTGCTGGTGCTGTAGAAGTTGATGGTGCTGCTGCTGGTGATGATGATGATGGTGCATGGGAAGGTGCTGCTGGTCTGTGCCGTTCACATTGGTACAGTTAACTCCATTACCCATGAGAGACTTTGTTTCCTTATGAAAGCCGCTGACTTGACCAGGACCAGGACCTGCCCTGGGGTCATGAAGGATGTCATCCAAGTGTTCGACCTCTGAAACCAACTCAGAATCGCTGATTTCTGTCAGATGCCAAATCTCATCATCCTCGAGCAAGCAACTGCTGTTGCCCCCCAAATCACACTGACCAGGACCTGTGGGTCCGCTGTAAGTTTCCAAGTCTTTATCCAGAGAGAAATCCCCCTCCCGTTTGATGTGTGAGGGGAAAAGGTCAGGCAGAGGGAGGTTTCCGAACACAGAGGTGTCCGAGGTGTTGATGATAGAGGTGGGTGTCCGCTCAAGATTGGAAACGCTCTGTTTCAAAAAAGACAAGTTGTCCTCAATATTGAACCCACCCATATCCTGGAGATGTTGCGGTTTCTGCATCCTGATCATTTTACCCTCCTTCATGTCTGATCCTTCGCCCAGGATATGAAGCTGCGAGGACTCAAAAAGGCCTCCGAGATCACCCGGGTCTTTGGTTCCGCCTTGTCCGTTTGGGGCAACTGAGGACTGGGGCAGAGGTCCTGAACCGGGCAAGTGGATTGGAGACTGGAGCAGAAGACCTGTCGTGTCACCTGTGCCTCTGCTTACTCCAACTCCGGGTTCCCCAAATGTCAGGCTGTCGTCTCGATTACCGTTGCGCCTCAGTCCACCCTGATCCATTTCTTTTTTCTGGTAGGACAGTGAGGGTAAGTCAAAGAGAGCACAAAACACAGATGGAGAGGCAGAAGAGGGAAGGTTAGGGCTTTACAATCAGAGCTGATGTTGGGTAAGATGATCAATGTGCAGCACAAACACAGAACAGAAAATACAAAACCTTCCCTGCACTCGGTCTCTTGACACATCTGCAATAAAAATGTAGCGTGGCGCAGTTTAAAAGCGACGCTCATTTACCGCTGTGCCTCTGCCCACGCCATTTATTTGATATTTTTCGAGAAATGACAGCAGCTGTATCAAACAGGCCATCTCCTTCTCTCACACCCACACTGGCACAACATGGCAGAGGCACAGAAGGCCAAAACCAAACTCAAAAAATAATTATGAGGAGACCACAGCTGTTACATAACATACATGACTACATACAGGACTCTAATCCTCATGTTTTTTTTTTTCTTTGAACTGTGCCCTCTTGTGAGCGTATGACATGCCCAGGCATAACTTGTGTTGCAGGCAGTGCCACTGACAGCCGCCCCTACAATCAAGCATGTGTGCAGCAACATACATCTGTCGAAAGAGATTAACCCACTGTGGGCCTCTGGGCATTTGCAGCAGTCACCAGTATCTGTCGATTCCATTTTGCGAGCTCAGGCGAATTCAGATGACGACAAAAACCAAATGAATTAAAAAATAAATACATAGGAATATAAGAAGTTGAATTTAAAAAACGGAAAAGGAAACCATGTGAATGCCAGCTCTTCAAAAGCAAATCTTGGAGCTTGTGAGAGAGCTGTGTGGCTCACAAATAATCTGTTGATCATTAACACAGATAGAGGCTCAGACATGAACTACTGCAACCAGGCATGCAAAATGACATGAAGGCCTCTTTAATGTGACCAAGGAGTAACATTTTGATTCCTGTCATTTTTCTTAACAGTGAATCCCTCCGATCGGCCATACTTCATCTTTCTCTCCCCTCCAGCAGTCGTGACAGTCTTCCTAGAAGACTGAGCTCCATACAGCACACAGCACACACAGTGTATGGTGCTTCATGGCCAGTATGGTATACAGCACTTCCTCTGCTCAAAGTGAGGTCCCAGCACGTGTGAGGGTCCAGAGGTGTCTTCTAAAAATAGATTTATATCAGCGTTGGAGCTGTGAGTTGTAGAGAATTAATATGATCTTTTATTTTGGTCATGGTCATCACATTTCCACGCCCACAGTACAGTAGGATACAGACGGCAACGTGGTGTTTTCAAGAATATCTGAGAGAAATCCTCATTTATTATCGATGTAATGACATTTAGATAAGATACGAGGGCTTCTCGGTGTGTAGAAGTCATAAAAAGTTCAACTTGCTTTACTGTACTTTTCCTACCGCACAGCACAACAACACATCATTACAGTATTAGTGCAACCTGTTGGCTGCGAGGGGAAATTACAGTCATCACCCGCCTACGGACGGAGAGGCTGAAAGGCAGCTTTTCTGTACAAGTTTTTACAACGATTCTTCATCCTAATTCATGATTTTTTTGGCGTTTTCTTCGAGCGCTCGCTTTGGCACTGTCAATATGTCAAACGGCACAGGGTTGTCAGTGCGCACAGGACGCACGTCGTCGGCCTACCTCAGGGGCACAGCCAGTTTACACACTATACCTTTATTTTTCCTTCTTGATTTGCAGCTTTAACACAAAATGACACACGTTCACACCTCAAAGTAGATATTCCTCCAAGATTAGTACGTACCTGCGGTGAAAGAAACATGCGCTCCACCAGTTAGGTCATCTCCTGCCGGTCCAAGTTGGAAAAAAATGTGAGAAATAACGCAATGTCCAAACAGTCAAGCACGCGAATAAAACCTCTTCCTTGTGGTTATGTTTTGCGGTGAAATGTCAGCAGGCTTTGTCGTTGTCTTTTCCGCTGTCTGGCAGGAAAACATCGTCCGAAAATACGAACTAATTTCTAAGTAAAGGCGAGCACACCGTCGCTGACAACATAGCCGGAGCCGCCGAGTTCCACCGTTGAGCGCCGATCAGTCGGTAACTTTTAACGCACGTCACCAGCGGGAGAGGGAGGGAAAAAAGTGATCGATAGGTCGCTTCGCTCGATACTTTGACGATAAATCCGCGACGATTCGACAAATGTGCGCTGCATAAGCCCGCTACTGCGCCATTAAACCCGTGAGTGTATTAAAGTTATATAAGACGACCGTGCTGCCCTGGTGCACTCAACTGCAAACTCAGGCAGGGCATGGCGGACAGTTAGTGAAGCGCTATCAAGCCACACGGAAGGAGTACTCCACTTCCGGTTTGAACTTTCAGAATACTACTTTTGTTTATCCCAGATTTTGCGACTGTCTTCAAATTTGACGCCCACGTTCAATAAACTGTCAAACAGAAGATAGTTTTAAACAAATACAAACAAATTCAATACATATTACAAACTAAATAGGCATAAAACTAACTTTAAAGGCGGTTCTGCTTCGACAGCGAATTTGAAAGCTTTTATTTTGACTCGTATTTACTCAACTTCCGGTTACGTACGCGTCTCTTCCTGCTAGCTTAACGCAACTGTGAGTTTGACACTTGCCGGTGAACGCCCCTTTCTCGACTGAAACTCTCTCTGCTGGGGAATCTGTCAAAACGTGTCTCCGTCGGCCACCGCTACCTCCATACTTCACAGAGGGAGTGAGGAGACATTATAGGCACTAACTTATATTCTCCCGGAGCCTCCTTGACACCAAGTCAAGGACGCTTGCAGCCTACAAATCTCATTCGGGGGGGGGCCTTCAAGGGGTCAAATGAGGTTGTGAACAAAGTGAGATAGTCTAGTCCCCCCCATGAAATCACAATTAGGCGAATACAGTCTCAAGCCTCAATGAGGCCCCAAGCAAAATTTGATTTGTGGGCCCTCATATCTGCCAATAATATTGATTGTTGATCATTCACACACCGACTACAGTATAAATTTAATTCACCTGACATGTCTTTACACATTTAAGGGGGTGGTCTAGGTAATAACATAAATAACACCAATGCCACCATACAAATAATACCAATGAATGACTGATGAATGATGTTCAGAGTGCAACATATAGATTATTTTGGACGTCAATATTTTTTTTCGAACCCGTGTCCTGTCAATACAAGTGCTCACATTAGCGACGGTCGGGTCGGTCCGTCAAAGACCACATCTAGACGTCAGTGCGACGTGCAAGATAGGTTAGAAATTTTGACGTCCAAATTGGACCTTTTCTCCGACGTCGCTCTGATGTTGAAAATTTCGATGTCATCTGAAGACCAACTCTAGACGTCAGCAAAACGGGCAAAATGGATCCAAGATTTAGACGTCATTATTTGACCTCGTTTAGACGTTGAAATGACGTCCACATTTGTACCTCATCGACGAAAAAATACGTTAAATAGATGTCATTTCGACGTTGCATTGTGCAGTGGGCATGGGCGATTTTTCCAAAGTTTCGCTTACTGTTTCGCCTACTCATTTTTTCATTTTTTGTTTACTAGATTGAATGGAATGATTGAATGGACGGATAATACGTGGACCCTTATGGTTGGGAGAATTGTCGAACACATTACATTGGAGAGACTTAGATTATACAATGAAGATAAAGGGGATACATGTGGTAAAACATGGGACCCACGACTGAATTACCTTAAAAATGTGAGCCCATAGACACTGGCTGTTGTACAAAGCCTCACAGTGCATACAAAAGTGTGACCTATCTATTTTACTATTAGATAGATAGATAGCCATTGATCCCAAACTGGGAAATTCTCAATGTGCTGCATTTTATACTCCTATGTTGTGTTTTTTTTTCATTATATATATATGTATATATATATATATATATATATATATATATATTTTACATGTATATATACATACATATATATATATGTATGTATATACATACATATATATATGTATGTATATACATACATATATATATGTGTGTGTGTGTGTGTATATGTATATGTATAAATATATTTTTTTTTCTTTCATTGAAAATTAATAAACATATTTCTAAAAAATTTAAAATTCTCCAACAACAAAGAGATACAGTGTGATCATGAGACAGAAAACACTCAAGACGCTCTTATTAAAAAACAAAGAGGAAGTCTGACTCTAAACACAGACAGTCATTAGTGAAATTACCCCCCTTAATATGCAAACAAAAAGGGGAAACTACTCATATGAAGGGGGGACAATGCCTGTAGCATTTTAGGTTGAGGAAATTAAAGAATTTGGGAGCCGACTCTTTCTCAGAGAGCAGAGCTGTAAAGGGTCAAAGGGCGAGGTTACAACCAGCAGCCCTCTAAAAAAAAATCTATCTAAAGACAATTTCCCATATTTTACATGTAAAGCTGTGTGATTTCTGAGTCTTAGTCTGACAATCAAAGATAAAACTGTGTTGCACTTGCACAGAATAATTAATCAATCATTAAAAGGGTTGATAGGTAATCTTGTGCCAGTACTTCACTCAACAAATCATGTCAGGGCTATGAAAAGCAAACAAAAAGCAAAGTTCATGACATGTATCAGGCTCTGAGAGGCAAAACAATGTTCAGTTAATGCGAATTACTTGAAAAAGTGTCGTCCTCTTGATACTTTGGAAAGGCCTACTTGAGTACAACGCTGGCAGAGGGGTTGACCTTTCAGGGACTATCACTCCGTTGCCAGACATGGTTTCTTTTCAGAGACACATTTTTCTGATGGCACTTGAGGGGGACTACAACAAGGACTAATTTGAGTTATGTTTACGCTGGAGTCAGATCAGGGCGAAGAAGACGAGGAGAAGTGGGGAGGGAGAGAAAGAAGAGTGGACCGCTGAGGCTTTGCAGACAGGTGTAAAAAGAACCCCATGCTGTTTCATGTGCATGAAAAAGAAATCAGGATGAGCAAATGTAAAAGCAAACAGCCAGGAGAAAAGGGGAGAAGAAAGGAAAAGGGGTGAAGGGAAGGAGGAGGTGCAGGTGTGGCCCTCCATGCAAGCCACTCGATTAGAAGGAGCAGAGTGTGTCCTGTGCATGTGTATGTCTCATTAAGAGCCAGTGTGGCTGGAGAGAAGCAGGAGCTCCCCATGGGCCTGAGAAAACCACACTGTTCTCAAAACATCGCAGGGAACACTGTGAGTTTTTTAATGCCAGATAACAATGGGTGATCCTATCTACCAATAAATAATAAAAACACTGGACATGTGGTCCTGAATGTGCACCTATGTGCCACTGGGAATACATGGAGAAGTATGTTAGTGTGGTTGTGTAACACATCTCGCTCTGTATGCATAGTAGGTTGCACCAGATTCAGGGAATGTGCTGCTGCAGAGACTAGTGAATATTCATCGATTAATGTACACTCACATGTGCTCAGAACAAATACAGGCCAACGTTTAGCTTTAAATTGTTCTTAACCTTAATTTAAAAAAGAAAAAAAAGAAAATACAGACCTCGACTAATGCAAACGTACATGCTGTACACATGTTATAGCCTGAAATTATCTCCTGATTGCTTATTTTCTTTTTCAGATATTTTGCTTCAATAACAGGAGAAAATAATGTTAATAAGGTCAGTCTAACAGCTGTATAAATGTTCCTAACATTTTGATAAATCCCCTGAGTGAAGGCCATGCCTATTACACCAACGTGAGCAATGTCGGTGAAAGAAAACTGTTTGTGGTGTTAAAGAACTGACTGTCCTGGAATAAGGTAATGAGGTTTTTGGTTAAACTTTAAAAACCATTAGCTGATATGAACTTTAACTCTAAAATGACTCCGATAAAGTCATCTGCTAGTCTTAAAAAGGATGCTGCTGTCTGATCCTAGCGAAGGTAATTTGAGGGTGCAGACAAGTCTAACATGTTAGTGACTGGAGTCAGATTTCTTTCATTTCCCCCTCTGCCAAAAACTAAAGCATTGCAGGCTGACTACTTGCCAAACCACGCAATGAAAAGCTGCTGATGAGTCTACAGGCCTTGCAGAGGAGTATCAAGTGATAGGCTCATTGTATTATCATGTATAAGTACCGTTGTTGTTGTGGTCGCTGCTGATGTAATTCTCGTATTGTCTAAAGTGTTGTTGGAAATGTGATGACAGCCTGCTGGGCGCCTGATGAGAATAATCCTCAATATCATACTCTGATACTCTGAACCCGTGTATAATAATGGCTGAGAGAGAAATTATCTTTTTTTTCACATTAACAATAATGTGTGTGTCATAAGGTTTTCAGTGTCATGTATAAATTCCTCATAATATTCTTTTTTTTTCTCTTAGTTTCCTGACGGGCACAAATGACATGATCATCACTTTTTATCTTATCCTGGTATGTCCCAGGGCAAGGCCTACCTCAATTGATCTCCATATGTTATTCACAGTGTCACTTTCTTTTTTTTCGCATTATAATTTCACATAGAAACATGCGTGCTATCCCTAAAACTGGGTAAGACAGGAGTTTACAGGTTAATATATTTTTTAAAACAGCATCCATCAATCTTAAGAACTTTGAATTGACAGGGCTTTGCATTAAGAGACTGGCAGAACTGGTTTTCTTGTCAGCTTTATGAGGATTCACAAGTTCAGTAGTTAAGTTTGGATTCTTACTTGAGTCGACACCCTTATTTTCCTCTCTGAGCACACATAAACACATCCTTGTCAGCAGTTGTGACTGATTTTACCCCTTTTTTGTGTTATTTTTTCTGTTTCTCCCAGTGTATTGGATAAAACCATCACCTTTTTGTTACTGGTTTGTGCAGTCCCAGGGTATGTGTCAAATGAAGTGGCCAGACAAGACAAGCATTGTTTACATTATCTAAAACAAAATTCTTGCCTTTGGGAAGGTTGATAGTAGGGCTGCATGATTTTGGCCAAAAATAAAATCCAGATTTTTTTCTCTGAAAGGTTGATTTTTAATTTTTTATTCAGTGATAACTTCACCAAATTTCATTCTAATAAAAAGTTTTTCAATCATCTCTCAAAACGAAACCACTGAAAACAATGTAGTGCATATGCCGAGCCGGAAAGTGGCGCTGCAACGCTGCCGAGGAAATGCACAAAAGACAGAAGAAGAGTACATTTTGGCGAGACACAAGCAGTCACCATCAAAGAGTTAAGCTGTGCGACACATAATCGTTTAAAGAGATGCAGATAGGCATCTACACGGAGATGAAATGGTAGGCGTTTACGGGATTATGTACTCTCTGACCCGTTTTTAAAAAGTACCGTTTACGGTCACCCGAAACGCCGATACGACAACAAACTTTTATGTCTAGTT